CTCCGTATCACATGCTGGCAAGCGCCGTGATGCCACTCCCAGGACTCGAGAATATCTGCATGCAAGATAGGATTTGAGATTTTTTTTTTTTGCAAATGCTGAGAAAAGGACAAGGACGAAGCGGTCCGGCATGAGAGTGTGGAATGCAAGTTCTCGGCAAGATACAGCAACTAATGCCCTAGGATATGGGATCCACTTGTGCATTACCGATGCCAAACTCACCTGGAAGATGTCTGAAAAGGGGGAAAAGTACCGTACATCCTCAGCCGCAAATCGAGGGTCAGCGAGTGTGGCGCAGAGCACCGTAGTCCATACTAGAAAGTACCGGTTTATTTTTATCACGCAAACACGCGATCTGCAAGCTGCAAGCCGCAAGCCGCAAGCCGCAAGACTGCAAACCAGTTTTCGGTGTGTTTTTGCATTGGCTGATGCGCTGCCCCGGCCTATAGCTCGACCAAGGGATTTCTGGAACAACCAGCGTCTACGCCCCCAACTGCAGTCGACATACAGTAGCTTGCATGAGACATGAGATCTTGGGTCTGTCAGGAAATGTGACGCATCACGGGGCAAGCCCTGCGTGCGGTGATCCGTTGTTGCCCCCTTAAAACGTCTTGTCCAAGTCTTGCTCCGGCACTGCCTCGTGGTTCTTCCTTTTCGCTCCTCGACTCAATTTTTCTCCTCGCTTTCCACTGCATCGTGACCCGGCATGTGTCGCTTCGTCTCGGATCGGAATAAGGCGTTCGACCAGTGCTCGACCAGTGCTCGACCATCGCTCTCGGGGTTTACGACGTGCCACACGCGATTGTGACTGGGGATCTCGACCATTTGGGCAATCTGTGACTGTGTCGGACCTGAGTCGTCGAACGCGCGCGGATTGAGTCCTTTTCACCCTGAGCTCCTTCGCGTCTTCCAGGGAGTGATCCACGCACAAGACAACCGAAGAATTCACGCGCGATCTTCGAATATTGGATTTCTCACGGAAAGGAGCATTCAGGGCAGCACGAAAAAAGGTATTGTCTCTTCCATTTTTTTTGTTTGTTTGTTTGGGGGGTGTCCAAGCGAATGTGGGAGGTCTAGGGCCTGACATTCTTTGGTTCGGGATGACATAAGGAAGGCTGCCCAACCATGGTTGGAACCTTCGTTGACAAGCGGCAGCGATATCCGAGCTGGGCAGTTCGTGGGCTTCGAAAGGTGTCCTGATATTATTCGAACATGGCTAATGATTCCAGGACTGAGATCGAGTGGAGACGCAGCAGCAATCCCCGGACATAGGCGATGCGGCTTGATCGTGCATATCTCCACTTTTGACTGGAATGCTTAGACGCCGGACCAGGGCCCGAGTCCACCTGGCGTTTAGACCAACACCTTTACGGCGGACAAGAAAACCGGGTCTGATCACCTGCATATCCGGCGCCAACCTTGTGGGTTTTTTGTACGATCATAAAGAACCCAGACGCGGACTAACGGACTAGCGGTTCGCCGTTTCTCTGTCGGACCAACGAGAACGAGAAGAGAGGCAGCGGTTTACTACGCATCCGGATCGCCATTCGCCCAACCGTGGGTTGGCTGAATTCTATTTCCACTTTTCTGCCTTCTCCGGGTTAAATTGTTTTTTTGTCTTTTTTTCTTTTCTTTTTCTTTTTCTTTTTCGATTCTTTTTTTTATTCTTTTTCTTTTTCCATTTCTTCTTTTGGTTTTTCCTTTCCCCTCCAGGCAGGCAGTCACACTTGGACTTTATCACCTCCGGTCTTCTCAGGTCTTTTCCCTTGAAGATATTGCTACGGTGGTAGAATATCTGGGTATCTTTGCATTTCCCTTTTTTCTCTCCCTTTTTTCGGATTTCTTTAAAAAAAAACCAACTGAATCCCACGGGGTTCGTCGATTTTTTCCTTTTTTGTGGGATTCTCGACTCTGATTTGTTCACAACTGAGAGAGTTGGAAGGCTGTGATCCAATTGATTTTTTTGAATTTTTTTCTGAATTTGAATGAATTTTTTTCCCTCCCCCCAATTTACTGCGAAATTCTCGCGCGTCCAATTTCGGTCGGCATATCGACAGTTCTCGGGGCGCCGTTATACAGAGAGAGAGCCGCCTAAGGTTTTTGTCTGGAACCGCGCTCGGTTGGCTCTTTCCGCTTGCAAACTGACGACACCACTCCGTTTTCGTCTTCAACCTCATCCGTCCTTCAACCAACCTCACTCTCTCTATTCTCCAACGTCCTTCATTTGTCTGCTCGTCCATGGTTGAAGGCTGAGGAAACGGAAAAAAAAATCCCATTACCCCACTACAGCTGCCACCCCTCTCCGACGACATCGTGACTCGTCCAGGGTTTCTCTTCGCTCCTTATCTTCGCTGACCACTGGATTTCTGTCGGTCCAAAGACCCGTTCCTTCCCTTCCTTTCCCACTCTTTCCCTTGTAAAACCACAGATCACTTGCTCCTGGTCTCTGTATTCCCGAGGATCGACACTGCGTATCGGCTGGTTCACTCGCTCTCAAAGCAACCTCAAAATTCGGGGGTTCTCTCCACCTTCCCTTGTTTGTCCGTGACTCGTCTTGATGAGTGCGACATTCTCCGACGCCTCTCTCTCGCGCGAAGCTCAGGGGTGAGTCGTTCTTCCCGTGTCTACTTTGACAGGGTCGTAACTCTTACGCGGTCGTCCAGGGAATCCCACTGACAATGTTGAACAACACCAGTTCTGACTTTGACTTGATCATTCGCCAGCAGCCCAACCGGGCCCGCGTGGCGGGGGGCAAGGAAAAAGGTATGGAAGCTCTTTTCTTTCCTTCTTTTCTCGTTCCTAGTCCTAGCTAGTCCTCTGTAAAGCGGAGGCCCACGGAACTGACCGAAAAACCGACTCTAATCACGCTTGCAGAGCGCAAACCTATCGATCCGCCCCCGATCGTCCAGCTCCGGGTGCGAGAGGAGGGCACCTACCTCGCACAGTAAGTGTGCAATTCACCGTGGCTTTGCGCGGCTGGCTGACTTTGGCGCAGACATTACCTGCAAAGCCCGTACTACTTCATGTGCTGCAGTCTGTACGACTCAACAGAAGAGCGTCCTGTGCCCGTCGCACCGTCGACTGCATTAGCAGGAACCCTAGTTTCGTCACTTCACCGGTTGAAGGATGTGGACAACAGCGGTTAGTTCTGGCTGGTCTTCGAGTGGGGCCAATTCACTGACGAGTTTGTAGATGGCGGCTTTTTCGTCTTTGGAGATCTCTCGGTCAAGATTGAGGGCGACTTTCGTCTGAAGTTTACCTTGTTCGAGATGCGAAAGTGAGTAACGGTCGGGAGCTTAATCCAGATTCAAATTAACAAGCCAACAGGGACCGTGTGTCTTATTTGAAGACCGTCATCTCAGAAAGGTTCACTGGTACGAATCTCCCGGGGACAGAGCTGGAATCGAGGTTCTGACAAGCTTGCAGTATCCCCTCCCAAGAGTTTCCCTGGCATGATGGAGTCAACCCACCTCTCCCGATCATTTGCGGATCAAGGTGTGAAATTGCGCATTCGCAAAGAGCCTCGCACCATGTTGTACGTCCCTCAACTCATAGGAATGTGAAAGCTTGTAGTTAACAGCCGCAGGAAACGATCGACAAGACCTGACGACTTTCATCCACCAGTCCCTACTCGATCTCCGGAGCGTCAGTCGGTGCAGATTCCTCCATCATCTAGCTATGGAGGCTATCCGCCGACGGCCCGAGATTATGGGTACTACGCTCAGCAGCCGCCAGTCAAGCGTCATCGTACTTCAATCGACTATGGCAGACAGCAGGGCATCTATGATGTTGATAGTCGAATGGCCCGTCAAATGGATCCATACAGCCAGTCAACGGCTGCTATGTACGCTGGTCAGCCAGCTACCTACCAAACGCCTGCCGCCATGCAGACCTACCCCACAGGGCAGGTGGTGCCTGATTATGCGGCGGTTCGTATCCCCCCTTGGCAGTTGGAAGCTCTTTGAGCTGACCTTGGATAGATGTACCCGGGAATGCAATCATCAGCGGGCATGCAAGCAGCCCCCATGTCCCAGATTCCCGATCCTACCGGTCAAAGCCGATCCACCCAGCAGCAGCAGGCCGCTGTGGGACAACTGATGGCGATGAACCAGCCTGGTACTCCTGTACGACACCCCTCTGCGAACCAGTGAGAGTGGAATAGAATACCCAGCTAAGGATTTTGGACCCGAGACAGACCCCGGATTCGACAGGGATGATGGCTCAGGGATATGTCCGAACTGGCTTACCCCCTAGCTCGTCTATACTTCCTCCTCTACAGCGGAATCGCGACTATCCCCAAGGAACCAATGGATCCACGCGCGCTTATTTCGACCAAAACCAGGCGAATACCCCTATTCTTCCATCTCAAATGGTTGACGGCGATCGATTTGGCTCCGTGGCCGGCCCAGCCACCTTCGATCACCCCGATTCCCCGAATGGAACGCCCCAATGATTTGCTTGACGTTCTCGACGTTCTGGCTTGATATTATCTTTTTCTTTTTTTCCTTCTGTCTTGATAGACCGGGAGGACTGTTTCATTATTCTCTTTTTTATGCTTGATGCTTTAACTGGGTGGCTAAAGGTTTTCATTTTTACAGGCGCTGGCGGATAAAAGGGGGAGGTCTTTCTTTCATGGGATTGGGAGAAAAGTGAGATTATTCTTAAGCCCTTCTTGTATATACAGGCCCTTAAAAGCAGTATCACTGGCTAATTGCAAGTGCTGCTTCTCCTGTTTTTTTTTTAATTGACGATGTAAGACTTTAATGATCTGATCTTTCCAAGATAGTAGGGATGTTGTGGAACTTTATACGAATAAGCATAAACCCATCACTTGGGATGGTTTACTATCTTGACGTGCCTTCCTAATGTTTGCTACCTTCCACTCCCTCTCCCTCTTCACTTCTCTACTCCCTACCCTTTTGTTTTTCATCATCTTTCCTCTCGTGTATCTTCCCTTTCTCATTTCCCCATCATCTCCATTTCATCTCATGGAGCCCACCATGGACCTCACCATGGACCCCAACGACAGCCCTCTCAGCAACCTCGATGTGTGGTGCGACTGGAGTGGCATTCCAGAAGAGCCAGTGTCTATCACGATCTCCATGGAGGTAATGCTGAAAAACCAACCCTCAAGTTGGATCTCAGTACTGACTGTCATCTGAAATGAATTAAGCTACAAACCTGCGGCCGTCCAAACCTGAATCTACCAATTCTCAATGTCCAGTCTCCAAACACCACCAAAAGCCCGTCTTGGGTCATTCAGTTGAAGCCTGAAGCCCAATCCCACTATGAAATCGACACTCCACCTGAGAAAGAGGCTTGCTGGTTTGGCCAAGAATATGCTGATGAGACTGAGAGATACCCTACCGATAACATCTCTGCTTCTGATTCCGGGAGCATTGTTGTTCACGATGGTTCGTGGGATGATGATTCTCGGCGTATCTCTCGTCGTACTGATAATATCTCGGGGATGCACACTCGGGTAGATAGCTCGGATAGCTCAACCCTCTCTGACCTTTCCAAGAGCCAGATCAACAGCCTGGGTAGCCCGAGCTCCGCGATCCCTCGCAAGAGATCTGCCAAGGCTGCTTCTCTGCCTGACTCTATCCCTCCTGACGATGAGTATCAAGGCACCCGCCACAAACTTATGATGACCAACATCGATCCGCCGAGCACCATCGAGAACGCCGTCAGCTCTACTCCCACTCACAGTCGTTCTGCTAGTCGGGACAAAACTAGCGTGGTGCTGGAGAACATGCCGTTGCCTCAAGACTCGGGGCCGAGTCATGTGCCAGGTTCCCCGAGCGTTACATCTGAGCATCTCTCGCTAAGCGGCAATGCAGCGGCGGTTGGAAATGTACCGGAGCCAGATGAAACCTCTCCTTGGTGCAATGCAGAAACTCCTCTCAGCACGATTGACTTGAGCGGCACCGAGCCGCTCACCGAAAAGAACCTGCTTCAGCGGAATTATGATACACTTTCTACTTGTGTGTGCCACGGAAGCCTTTCTGACACCGAAGAAAGTGACAAAGAAATTGAGACCCTGCTTTTTCCCCTTGAATCCATCGGATCGGCATCGTTTTTCTCATGTCATGGACTCCCTCTGCCCCAGACGGCTGCAGAAATTGCCGAAAAGCACAAGCCCAAGATCTTATTGGACAATGACATTCTTTACCTGCAGACCCCTCCCAATATCTACCCTGCAACATACCAAATCGCGATTTCGCTCACGGTCAGGCTACAGAAAGGAAAATCGTGGGATTGGTGGGAGTTGGTCGTTAGTGGACTGCCTCGACTTGCCCAGTCCGAGTCTGGTTATCTCTACTTCCGAACACCCCCGGGTCAGGGAATGGAATTCATGACCTCGTCTTTTAAAAGACATACGCTCGTGGAAAGCTGCTTGATGGCCCAGTTCTACGGTGGAAGAAACCTCGTGATTCCGTTCCGGAAGTGCGATGCAGAATGCTTCGGACAACTCAAGGACCACAAAGTCAACACACTCATACGGGCCGAGGTGGCAGAGGCCGGCGACCCACCGTCCTATCTGATCAAATACAACGCTGCTTGCTCCATCGATCTCATCAATCATAACTTCTGGGCCGAGCAGTGCAAATTCTGCATTTTTGTGCATGGCGGCCCGGACGGCGAGTTTGACGCTGTTTTTACACATAAAAAGCCTCTGATCAACTCTATTCAGCTGCCAGCGGCAGATGGGACTGGAATCTCACGCATCAATATTATCAGCATCCCCCAAGCTCTGGACATGTTCACGGTGTCGTGGGAAATCAAGCTGCCCCGAGGCAAGGCTATCACCTGGTTGCCATGGATCAAGACCACGTTCAGCTGCAGTGATGCTGAAACTGTTCTCCAAGAAGATTACGCCATCTATGCCCCTGATTATGAATTTACCAAGCATGAAGCTGTACCTCCAAAGTATCAGAATGCTGATACTAGATGCGAAGTTTCATGTGGTCAATTAGGAGATATCTGTGTTCCCGGGCTTAGCCATTCTAAGCCCGAAGTCGAGAAACCTCCATATCTCCAAGATGGTTCCATTCCCAAGTTTGAACTGACTGAGCCTCTATTTGGTAAAATTCCAGCTTCGAGGTCTACAAGTACGCAAACCGTTGCGGAAACTCCAGCTCCTGGATCGACAGTTTTCGAGACTCTAGTCGCTGAGCGAAAGAAGTCACGCCGTGTACGCGGTCTGTGGACCTTATGGACTCTGATTAACTTCTTCTTTCAATTGCTTGTTTTCCTGGCGTCTGTCCACATCATCTCCTCGTCGTACTTTTTGCTCAGCCATGTCTCCCGCGAAGCGCATGTCTATGGCCCAGTGGACTACGCAGGAAATATTACTACCAATGCTGATGTGGTGCAAGAGACAGAGACTGTCCTGGCAGAGTCAAATCTTCAGCCTGAGCTGATTCAACCTGAAGTTCAGCAGCATGCCAACACCACACCTGCCGAGGTCACTCCAATTCCCCTGAGAGACCGCATTGATTACATTCTCGGATGGCGAGGACCAATTGCGCGTGAGTAAATTTCGACGATGGTATGGCTCAGTATCGTTAAGGAGAGAATACCGGGACATGATGGGAAACCGCAGAATCAGGTGCAGCCTCGCTGCCGTTAGCAGATAGCAAACATAAGGACAATTATCTATTGATTAGTCACTGTACATGTAGCTATACTTACTCCATCTGAGTAGTGTATTCCTGTTATGTATCGAGAATGCGTCTGTACGTAACCTCAACTAACATCAGTCTTAAACCCTAATCCTACCCTTAACCATCCGAATAAGCTTAATCTCCGCTAGACCCTGGATCCAGCCCTTCTTATCCATGGATAGATGATCCGTCACGTACCGCGGTCAAAAACGTCATCCACATACCTAGACGGATGGACCCGGAGATCATCCTCGGCAACAAGATGGAACCAATCCTCATGAATAATGTTGTCGACTTGTAATCCTGATATAATCTCAACTACTACTCCCCACCTCGGCACCTCGGCCAATATGACTAGAGAATATTTTTCATTTTAATTTTTTATTCGGCATCTAGAATAGAGGCAGAACTAGATTTAAAGGCATACCCAATTAGGAAAGAGTAGATGATACATTCTTACGTGTTGGTTGATGTAGTGCGGAGAAAAAGAAACTTGAAGCCTTTAACATCCATTTTACTCGTTGTGCCCTTCATATATCTATAGAGGAATTTGTTAGTCTCTTTACTGAGGCCTAATATTGAGCGAACTGGAGATACTATTACCTTCTTGAGTTGGATGACCTCGACATGTACGGTGATATTACCATACCCCTCAAAGTATCAGTAATTATCCCAATTATGACGGACTATGTCCTTATAGCGAGCCTTTTGCCTGTAGCGCATTTAACCTCTGAAACGCGCCACACTGTCTTGTCGGATGGCGAGGGCTAATTGCGAATCAATCTTTAATGAGGTAGCTTAGTATGGCTATGAAGGAGAGAATTGCACAAGCAGGCGTAGCAATCGCTGTAGCTAACATATAGCAGAAATCTATTGCTCTAGTTTATGTATATAGCTCTATAACTACGTCTGATCTAAATAATATCCCAGAATCAGCTCGACAGCCCACCTCAAAACAACATCCATTCCTGCCCTCCCATATCCCGGCGCAACCTCAACCCCAACATCAGTCCTAGCCCTAGTCCCATCTCCAACCCTCCGAACAAGATCAGCTTTCTCTTGATCCTTGCTCTCACCCTTCTCCTCCTTATCCCCGTCCTCGGCAATCAACAACCAAGAATGATCTATCACATACTGCGGCCAAACAATATCATCCACATACCCAGGCGGATCGACCCAGAAATTCTGCGGTGGCCGATCATCCTCAGCATCAAGATCAACCTCCGTCCTCGTCTTTTCCCCCGCCCCTTCCCCGCCCGCACCCGCACCCGCAGTATCATGAGTATTAACTGGTGGTTGCGGCGCCGGCCCAACAGTCACATACCCATTCCTCCCCTCCCGTCTCGCCTTAACAAGCTCATACGGCGCCGGCAAGAAAAGCCGAAGATGTATAGCATCACTAACAGAACGAAGCACGTGTCGTTCCTGCCCAGGCGGCGCAAACAGCAAAAACCCCTCTAAGAACGAAATCGTCGGGTTCGCCGTGCTGTCCGCTGCTGCTTCCCCGCGCAACCGCACATCAACCTCGTCCCGCAACTTCTGCACGACATCGTCCGACACGCCGGAATGCGTCTGGTAGTTCTGGTCTTCTTTGCTCCGGAGCCGCGGCGGGAGTGTGCCGTTTTCGCGCACGTAGTGGAGTGCTTGCGAGAGGAAGGGGATGTCGATTGCGGCGGCTGTGTCCCAGTCTTGGATTTTTGCGCCGGTGCGGGTGGTTGTGTAGGGGATTCTGGGGTGGGTTAGGAATCGGATGGGGTTGGAGGGTTGTTTTCATTTGAGATGGGTATGTTGTGTATAAGGGGTTGAAGTAAAGGTGTACGTACTTATCATCCGGAAAGTAGAAATCGTCTTCGTGGATTATGAACGTGTTTAGACGGGTGGCCTTGGGCTTGAGATTCACCCCGCAGAATACTCGCTGCAGTAGCCGCGCCAGGGTTGTCTTGCCGCTGCTCGAGGGCCCGGAGATCCCTATTATCACGGCTTTCCCGTCGGTTGGCTTGCTCATTTTTTTCGCTTGGTAATTTGGGGGGAATTGGAGAACTGCGAGCTTACCACGCGGGTGAGGGGTGTTGTAGGAAAAGCGTATCTCTTATCGCTGACCTCATAGCTCAGGGTCATACATGGAAGTCCTACAGTTTAACTATGCTTTTTACTACTTTGTATACATATGAAAAGACTTAAAGAACATACAGAACCAGGATGTGAACTTACATATAATAGTTCAGATTACTGAAGTCTTATGTCACTATTCCAACTGCATGAGTAGATTTTGTCTCGGACTATATATACTTTACGCTACGCATAAGCATGGACAGCAGCGAATACGCAATAACACATCTTAATATTCTTCCGCACCATCAGCTAAGTAGACAAAACCACCAGAGGGCGACAATACACCAACTCCTAGTGGGATTGCACATAGGCACAAAGCCACTAAACATTTCCCGATACGGCACCTTAAAAATGAATACGCTAACTAGTATACTTAGCTTTAGGCAGTGTTATATCCATGATGCGGGAAACAATACACAACAGAGATCTAGAAAATCATCCTTCCACACTTCTAGGCATCGTGGCATTTGATGTAGAAGAGAACACCTGGGCAGCACCTAGGCGAGGTGGTACACCTAGTTTCAAGGTTGGTTCCTAGGTTTTTAAGGCTTATTCCGACAAAGGACATTTCTCTTCTTATCTTCCCAAAACATCTGTCTTACTTATTTGTTTTTACGTGTAATCAAGTAATAAACGTATTCTCAAAACAACTTACGTAGGATCGGTGCGATCACTAAATTTCTGCTTTGACCTCACTGAATCAACAACCAAGAGCTTCAAAGTAGCAGAATTTACCAACTCGGCGTTATTCTAGCGAAAATCTAGAATTTTCCACGAGGATCTATCATGAATCTTCTCATCTTATTTTCGACCCGATAAATGCTCGTCTTCTAAGAATACTTTCATTTCAAAATATTTCACATTCAAAAAATCTTATGTACCAAATCCAGTCCCAAGATGAGACAACTTAGGAGTCTTAATTCTCAAAGACTTCCATCCCCATCCTGTCTTCCATTTTTAGATTCATGAGAAGGAAATCTTCTCACTCTGAGCCTTTACTGCAGGCCCATCATTGACCAGCTTTTCGTATAAGAAGGGCTCCTCAAGTAGCTGAGCTTCGGCAAGTCCCAGCTGCCATCGGTCAAAAGCAGGGCGCGGAATGATTGGTGTCGTCCACATGCCATCGCGACGGAAAGAATTGGTCACAGCAACGGCGACATCAACTGGGATATTGGGGAAGAGTTCGGCGAGCTCGTCCTTGTATGATTCTGCGTCATGTTCCAGAACCCATTCGATACCCTTACGGAGGCCTAAGCAGAACCGCCTCTGTGCATCGAGGCCTTCGGGAGTGATGGTCGCGGTCTCCTGGTAGTATACACTCCAGGGAATTTCACCTTGCGAGACCATTTGCATCGCAACTGAGATTTTGGGATTCCGCTCACTCATCGCCTTGGCCGAGAGGTTGTCCGTCACGAAATAGTCGCCCATTCCCCCTTCAAACAACTCGCCCAGCATCTTCCCATCGAGATCCTGGATATAATCGACAGATCGGTGGTCAACCTTGTTCTCGCGTAAAAACATCTTGAAGAATAGACCAGCGCTGGCTCCGCCGATACCCTTCATCAAAACTGTCTTTCCAGCCACATCCGTGATCTTGAAGTCTTTCGCCGGGCTACGGCAGAGCAGAGCAAGAGGGCAGCGATTCGCAATTTGTGCAAAGACCGTGTAGTCTTTCACCCGGTTGCGGTACATTGCCGGTACCCAAATGCCACCAAGAGCCATGTCGGCTGTGCCATCAGCGAGTGCATCAAGGACGCCGTCCCATGGGTTGGGAATAGAAACTTTGACATCGAGTCCTTGCTCCTCAAAAAATCCATGTCGCCGCGCAATATATTCAGGGAGATAGTTTAGGTTGTGCCCAGTAGCAGTAAGATTGAATGGCTGCATGATGGATTCTTAGCAACTTTAAAAGTGAGCCAGGCAAAAGAGATTGTAGTTGAGAAAAGGATGTAATTGGGAATGACAGCAGTTCACCCAAGGTTAAATACCTCCCGATGGCAAGACCTTTGCTGTTGGAGGTTTCGCATCATGATGCAAACCCGATTCGGACTAATCCGAAGGTCGTGCAGATTAACGAGTCGATCGGCATAAGCCGAGGAATAAGCCGATCGGATTATAAGGGATACGAAAAAGGTAACAGATACGATAATTTTGGATCTATATAATGTCGTTAAGCTTTTATCATTCATCAGAGATTATCCTCTATGGTATAGATGATGTGATGACATTGAAGATGTGTATACCTGGTTCACGTGACCTTGCTTTGCAACCTGGATTTTCAGTTGTCATATCATTATCCCAACAAATACCTAAATATTAGATTAAGTTAGATAGATATACTTAGCATATATCTTTGATCTCATGATCTTTATTCGTCCTGAGAGAGTCGGATTAGTCCGGTGGCGTCTCGAGACTAGCCGAGGTTGCAGGGTCCTTATCTTAACCAGATCGACGTATCTATATCACAGTACACAGATATATATTACCTAGGTATACAACTGGAAGAACCCATGGACATCTTGCTCCTTTTTGATCAAAGGGAAAATATTTTGAACTTCCCACTCGTGACTTGCCGCAAATATTTGCTATGTCGTCTCCGGAATCCGACAAGAATTCCCTCCAGGGTGATGCGAAGACCCCAGAAGAGATCAACCATGAAGTCGGCGAGATTTTATCGGAAATATATATCGACCCTGAGAAAGAGGCAGCTGTGTTGAAGAAATTTGATAAATTTGTCCTTCCGGTCTCGGTTGTCTTCCTGGTTCTATCCTCATTGGACCAGAACAATGTGAGTAAAGCCTTGGTTCGGAGCAACAGTACACTCTCTAATATTTACCAGATGGGTAATGCTAGAGTATTTGGCTTTGATAAAGATATCGGACTCAAGGATGGTCAATTTGGCAATATCACACTGCTGGCCAATGTTTGCACCATCGTTTTCGAAGTGCCCTGGGTTTTAGCTGTCAAGCGTTTCGGTGCTAATAAGCCTCTGGGAACAGCATTGATCCTATGGAGCTTCTGCACCCTTGGAACCGCTTTTATCCAAACCTACCACCAAGCTATAGCCGTTCGTATGCTATTGAATTCTTTTGAAGCAGGTCTTGCTCAAAGCTTCGCCTACCTTTTTTCTACTATCTACCCCCCAAGCTTGATAGGAAAGCGGATCATGTCGACCAATCTTGCAATGTGTATCTCAGGTGCCTTTGGTGGGCTTTTTGCATATGCTGTGCAGACCATGGGAACTCAACGTGGTCTCGCAGCCTGGAGATGGTTGTTTATCGTTGAATTCTGTGTTACGATTTTTGTTGGCGCTCTCGGCTTACTTTGTCTCCCGAAAACAGCTGAAACAGCGTGGTTTTTGAATGACGAGGAAAAAGAAATTATGCGTCTCAAGAGAGATCGAGACTTTTTGCGCAGGGGAGAAGAGAAATTCGAACGAAGGTGGATCAAGATCGCTCTCACAGACCCTTTTGTCTACCTTCTTGGTATCGCTTTCTTTACCTCATCGGTTTCCATCAACGGATTCAACGTTTTTCTACCCACTATTCTTTCTGGGCTTGGATTCCCTTCTCTTTCGGTCAACTATCTAACTATCCCAGTTTACGTTCTTGGCCTGATATCACTTGTTATTCAGGTGTACTTTTCTGACAGAATCAGCCGACGGGGTGTTTTTATCATCGGATGCTGTGTTCCAGTCGTAATTGGATATCTTATCTGTGTCGGTTCAGCAAGTGGTGCTGCTGGTTATGCAGGAATGTTCATTCTCGTCTTAGGTAAGTGTGATCTATCTTGTTGCAGATGTTTATTCGAAGTCTAAACTTAAAATTTGTCTAGGACTCTATCCAATTTCTACCCTTGCTGTAACATGGATATCTATCAATCTCCAGCCAGATTCCAAGCGCGCAATTGGAATGCCTATCGCATATTCTATTGCAAATCTATCTTCACTGGTTTCTTCCCAACTATACCCCAGTCAGCAGGGCCCAAGGTATATAATTGGCAACGCTGTCTCTGCTGGTTTGACAGTGGTTGCTGGATTTCTGTATGCCTCATGCTGGGTTCTTCTCAAACGCAGAAATCAAAAGAAGGCGAAGCTTCTTGCCGAGGGAGCGACTACAAATGGGCTTGAAGGCGATATGAGCCTTGACACCATGTACAGCCTTTGATCAGCGAATGCCTTCTTTATGCTTCTTTATTCTTTGCGCAAGCGTCTATGCTAAAAGCTTCTAGCATAGTGGTATTACAATGAAATTTGGTCCTTATGTCACATTGCTCACATACTATCATGCTATATAGACCCGAAGTACGTATGGCGGGGGGGTTGCTAACTTCTTTGTACTAACAGGAGATTAATAAGGGTTTCACTTTGGCAGTAGAAAGTAGAAATTTGTTCAACTCGATTCATTCAGCTCAGCACCAAAACTGAGTTCCTGTTCCTGGTTCAGATCAACATCTCGAAATTTTAAAGGACTCAACGCCGTTGATATGGCTGGGTATACATACCAAGGAAATTATCTAGCATGGGGATACAAAGCACTTAGCTGTGAACATCGAATAATACGCTTCTAAAACGAATCTCAATCCTCCTAACACAGTGACACTGAAGACCATCGCGCGAAATCCACATTTATCCCCTTTCCACGTACTGCGTAACGAGGTACTCATTAAAGAACACCCAAAGTTCAATCAGTGCTGGGAGGCTCGAAATTCGATAAGGGGAACATGTTGGTTATCTGAAACCCACTTGTATTCCAAGTGAAGGTATATTTTTGCTTTTCCTAGCGGTGCGGTGTGTTCTACTTTTTCAAATCAAAGAAATTAATTAGGTACAGAGTGTAGACTTGACAGTCGATTCTCCAATATTTGATTTAATTGAATCCATAGCAGGATGACGGAATAGCCTGTACAGAACACTTTTCTGTATCTTGGCTGGTGCAAAACTCCGCAGAACAGCCTTTTTCCAGACAAACAGGAATTGAATCATACCAAACCACGAGCCTTAGCTCGTCGATCACGCATCTCGGCCGCACAACCGTCTTTGTTATAGATACCGTTCACAGACGGATGCTTCATGGCAGCCTGGGCCCACGCGAAGAATTTTGGCGCCTTTTCTTCCAAGCCAGCTACCATGGTATTTGGCAATGGTGCATTTTCGGTGTACGGCAGCGTGAAAATCCGCAGGATAAAGGAGGCGGTCAGAACCTACAAGCCGTTTCAGCTTTTCCAAATCTCGGTTGCCTGGGGAAATAACCAAACAAGAAGTTTCAAAAGGGTTGGAGAATAATTACCTCGGCCATGGTCAGCTTGTCACTGCCACCAAAGAAGGGTTTCGCGTCTCGCAAGAGTGGCTCAACCTCTTTGACGACGGCTTCAACATACCGCTTGCCGAGCTCATCGGCATCCTCGTCAGTTTTGGCTTCGATTGCCCGGTAGTAGTAGATATTGGCCTTTGAAAAGTATGTTTCGACAAAGAAGGCGATTCTGTGGCGTATGAGGGCTCCTTGGGCTTCTCCAGTGCGTGGAGTCAAGTGAGTCGATGTGACTGAGTCAACTAGAAACTGTGCGATAAAAGCTGACTCGAAAATGATATAGTCGCCATATGTCAATGTGGGAACTTGTCCACGAGGGTTGATCTTGAGATACTCGGGCTGCCTTGGTTTGCTGTAGTCAATGATCTCCTCCTCGAATGGTAGACCCAGCTCTGCCAGCACAATATGAACACGGTGTGCCCCTGCGAGCCATTGTCAGTATTCTGCAGCAGAAATGGACGTGGAGAACATACATGGGCAGTTTCGATTGGTAAAGATTTTAATTGACTCTCTAGTAGCCATGATGAATTTCCTCTGTATAGAAAAATAGTGGCTAAGAGAGCCTTATTCAACTGGTAGGGGTAGCTATATACTCAAGTAATTTACCTATATAGACAAAGAGGAGCGATACAGTCAGCACATGTCAGTTGCAAATTCTGTTCCCAACGAAGCTGTCTATCTATCTACTCCACGGTAGTAGGACCGCATCGCTTTTCTCCGAAAAAGTTACTGGCTGTGATTGGTATACTGATTAGCATATAAGCGCCAAATCTCCGTCGAAAATCTCCGATCATGGTCATTATTTCTGCATGAGAGGAAGGTTAACTAAATAACGTAATTCCCGAGCGAGCGGGCCACCCTGATGTGAATTGCTATGCAGATAGTCACACAAGGAGATGTCCCCTGGAACGTGTATTACCTGGAAACTGCAACACTTACTCCAGAGATTCTCGATACACAGAAGCAATTCTGCATCGCTCCTCCAATCTCCGTAAGTCCAATGGATTACGCACAGGTCGAACTTACTGCATAGTCCAAACAGTCATATCACCTAGAAGACAATTCTTGAATCGTATACTTGAGCATAAAGCTACCGTCACGTAAAGCGAAGTGTAATTCGCCAAAGGATGTAGATTACATCGGAAGAAATGTCGTTAGAGCCATAGCTATTCATTAGATCGATTTCCTAGCCTAGGAAAGTATTACAAGGAAATATGAGATCCTCCTCTTGCCATTGGGTCAAAGCCCATGTCATTAAACCCGCTGTGCTGAGGCTCAGGCCATTGAGCAGCACTACTAAACATCTCGCTGAAAACAAAGCTATCAGCCGACAACATGCCTGACATGTCCATTCCATTACAGTCATGTGCTCTGCGAGAAGGCTGTAGCCGGTGTAGGACGTCTTCTGCTTGTTTCTCGAACTCTTGACGGCCATGGTGTAGTTCCGCAGCATTATTATTAACTAGCCAATCGACTGTTGCTTCCGATAGAGTATCAAAAGCATCACGGCAGCCTGAGACCCCCGGAAAGCTCTCAGCCATTGCAGCAAGTGTCGAGGCGCAGGATTGCAGCGCGGAAATGCTACTCCCAATCGGATTCCGGTCTCGCACTTCTTTCGACTGCCAAAGACTGTATATCACCCCCAGGCCAGCCATAAAGAGATGATGGGCCGATTTCCATAGTATATCAACCTTCCCTTCTCGTTGTAGGGTTTTGATACTTCCTATAAGTTGACAAGAGGCTTTAAAAGAGAGGACTGTTGCTTCCGGGGATGTTTGTGGTCCGGTAGAGTTGGGTCGGTAAAGCAGGATAATTGCGTTGTTATATAGATAGTCCCAATATGCCTGATATGCGAATATGGATGATGGGTGAGCCTTGGTAGTCTGCGGAATAGTAGCGTACCATTCTTCAAGACGGGGTTGGATATCTTGAAGCCACACTGCATAGTTTGCCCTAGGGTAGGCTATTTTCGGAGCCCAAACTTGGCTGTGTTGCACATGTTTGATCTCAGACTCAAGCATCGATAAGCTAAACATGTGGTTATGAGCTCGTTGGCTGTAGATATCAAATCCGGTGGATTCGCTGCTAGATGCTCCTTGATAGACAGCCCATGGATTTGGAAGTGGCACACGCATGCTTTCGTCGATGATACCAAAGGGCCGACCGAGCGTGATGCATAAGATACGGTCAAATTGATATGTAGAGTACCAGAGACGTCGGTGATCGTATAATACGGCGGGATCCACACTCGTAGCCTGATCTTCGCTTTCCCAATGTAAGCCTATGTCAATACATAAGCGTAAAGCGATACCGGTCAGATGCCATAGACTCCCCCGGGAAGGGCACAATGCAATAAATTGAGCCAACAGAAGGATAGTGCGCAGAGTCTCGATATCACTTTCCAAACTCGTAACGACCTTTTCGTACAAGCTGAGGGCTGATTTGAAGCACCCCTCATTCTGGCTTGGTCGACCTCCAGATGGGTTTGAAACGTCACAGAGGGCGATAGCGAAGATCATAAAAGACATGAAAATATCCGTTTCTACTGCCCGGTCCGGAAGGTCCCGGCCACTCGCGGCTTGGTATGCGCTTTCTACGGCCTCCTCAACTCTTGAACGCTTCACAATGGGTAAATGGGGCGTTTGGTACTGGAAGTAGACATCAACCAGGTGGTCTGCAGCATGACGCGGCGGAAGAGAAGCCTCGGCTGCCATCGAGGACGACGAATGATTATACGAGCGTGGCTCAATAAACAGGGGAGAGGTCAAGGCCTCGACGCGGATTGCTGATATGACCAACTTGGCAAGGGTGATGCCGCCGCTCTGTCCTAAGAATCGTGGCTGCCTCGACGGCTCGACAACAACATCACTGACGCTCTTCACCAAGTTTTGCACGTGATTTGAACTTGCATCAGACGCGGCCAGACTTCCCGGGGAGAGGTTGTCGCGTGGGGTAGTCATCTCATCATTAACCGAAGCAGACTGGGCTCGTGCTCTCAGTTCGCGGTTCTGCCGAGTCAACTTCTCGACCTCTGCCTCTAGCTCCGACACATAGTTACGAGGAACCTTCAAGTATGTCAGTTAAGTGCGGTAATATTATAGCTATTATTAGAAAGACTCACCGTGGATTTATTCTGTGAGTGATATGTCATGCATGGGACACCTGCGCCTTCGCAGTTGGAGCAACTCGGATGCCTCAAATCACACTGTTCAACAAATTGTCAGCAATCAGATTGTCGGCCGAGGGCAAACAGTATGGCTACCTTCTGCTTTCTCCGACGACATCTAAGAATTATTTTAGCCCCGAATCATCTACCATACGAACGATATTGGGTCACCTACCTCAGACAAGCAGTCGCTCCTTTTCCTTTCGCTAGCCTTTCGGCCGGAGGCAATGACGATTGCATTTGCGACATTCTAGATGAGAATCGGGATCAACAAATGATATGGAGAATAGCTGCTGGCATGGCCTTGACGGGGTTTCATGGTAGGTTACGAAGGCAATATGAATTTGAATGCTCCATCGGAGAAAGCCGACTTACCCCAGGGTGGTTGCGATAATCTCTATTCGGCTATGTCCGATCGCGCGTCTTATCATTTTCAAGCTTATCGAGATATCAAGGTTCAGATTATGTCAGCATTTATCGAATATCACCATGACCGAGACAACAATCGTCCATGTCTTCCGGCGTATACGTTGAACTGGCAGTATGAGTATCTGAACATGGAGTATATAGTGACGCCACTGGAAGTTCATGATCGTCTTCCCTCCAGACGCATCCGACTTCCTGCAGAGCCTATCCCCAGTACAAGCCGCCCCAATGGACTTTGATATAAAGACTGAAGATACAAAGACCACAGTCATCGACACTGAGGTCAGCATTGTGGTTTGGCCTGATGAGGCTAGCTCAACTATCTACATTGATCCTGAGAAAGAAGCAGCCGCACGAAGAAAATTCGACAAATACCTTGTACCAGTTTCCCTCATCTTTATTATCCTGTCCGCCCTGGACCGAAACAATGTAAGAATTCTTGGTGTGGTGACAAACTATTCATGTCTCACCGTTTACTAGATCGGAAATGCTGTCATCTTCGGCTTTGAGCAAGACTTGGGTCTTGTGGGCAACCAATTCAATAATATCCAAACTCTATCCAGCTTTTGCAGTTTTGCCGGCGAGCTCCCTTGGACCCTGGTTGTTAGACGTTTTGGTGCCAGGAAGGCACTCGGTACTGCATTCCTCTTGTGGAGTATCTGCACCCTCGGCACTGCCTTTATCCACACATATGGTCAAGCTATCGCCGTCCGTATGATTCTGTGCGCCTGCGAAGGCGGTCTGTCTCCCGGATTTGCTTTCGTCTACTCGACAATCTACCCTAAAGAACAAGCCGGAAAGCGTATCATGACGACCAACCTCGCTCAGTGCATTGCTGGCGCTTTTGGTGGCCTTTTTGCCTATGGAATTCAAACTATGGGAACTCGAAGAGGCCTTGCCGCTTGGAGATGGCTATTCATTGTTGAGTTCTGCTTTACTATATTTATTGGTGGAATTGGTTGGGTCTTTATCCCTGATTCGGCCGAAACAGCATGGTATCTTAACGAGGAAGAGAAGGAGACTATGCGTCTGAAGAGGGAGCGAGACTATGTGCTCCGAGGTGAAGCAAAGTTTGACTGGAGGTGGGCTAGGGAGTCACTGAAAGATCCATTTGTTTACTTCCTGGGCATAGCTTTCTTCACTTCATCTGTCGCAATCAATGGCTTCGGTGTCTTCCTGCCTTCTATTATCAATGGCCTCGGGTAAGTACCTATATCGAACGAGATCTTTGAGCACCTTACTGACTGAATTAGATATACCTCCCTCCAGGCTAACTATATGACCATCCCTGTCTATGTTCTTGGTGCCATCTCTCTTTTGACACAGGTCTACTTTTCTGATAAGCTCAAGCGACGAAGCATATTCATCATAGGCTGCTGTGTTCCGGTTGCTGTCGGTTACCTGATTTGCGTGGGAACATCGTCTTCCGGCGCTGGCTACGCGGGAATGTTTATTCTCGTTCTTGGTAAGCAGGCGCTAGTCACCTCTGTCTCTTGATACCCATTTCTAATCCCTGATGTAGGCCTCTATCCGATTTCCACGCTCGCTGTCACCTGGGCGACTAATACCTTTGCGCCGGATTCCAAACGTGCAATTTCCATGCCAATGGTATATACCATGGCTGATATTTCTTCTATGGTATCATCGCAACTATACCCTAGCACACAAAAGCCTCGATATATCCAGGGTAATGCGGTCTCTGCTGGTTTGACGTGTGTCGCTGGGCTCCTCTACACAGCATGCTGGTATCTGCTTAGGCGCAGAAACATGAAGAAGAAGAAGCTTCTTGCTGAGGGTGCTACATCAAATGGCTTGGAAGGAGATAGGAGTCTCGATTCCATGTACATGCTTTAAGCAGCAACTTTAGGAAGATAGCTTAAACTCATTCTGAACATCACTATCGACTGACTCGGCTGGTCAGGAAATCCGCACAACTTTTCTCCAGTTTCATCCCGTTTTACCTTGCCAACTAGTTATTAGAAGCTACCGGCGGAATATCAAACGATTAGAATATTAGTGCGGAGCGAAGCGAAGCAATTTGTGTGTATGTCACGTGACCAGGTGTTTTTATCCTATGGGCTCCAAAATCATAAGAATCAATGCGGTGAAGATGTAATCGGCTAACTTTGGCAGAATAACCTAACCGGCAGAATAAATAGACTCATAATTACCTTCCCCAGAGCTTTTACAGTCACACTTTACGTAGCATTAGAAGTTAGAATCAGTTGTTTTGCTCTGCAACGACTATCGGGCGGCCGCAGGCCGTCCAGATCCCTCGTAGAACAAAAAATCTAGATATTAAACGAAAATATATAACTACTAGATATGGCATGTATATATTTGAGCCTGAAAGTGGGGGGTTTTAGTTCAATTGGTATAAGTAATAATTGCTTCACATTGTTTCAGAAGCCTAGTTAGTACCCGAAATTTCTTCTGAACAGTGGCAATGGCAATCATAATCTCCAGGCATGTTATGTTGGAGGTGGATATGAACGAAGCTATCTGCGGGGCACCGATTTAGCTGCGATAATGGGTGGAGTTACAGGTTTACTCCATCTCTTTGATGGGATGAATTGTTTTAGTCTTAGTGCTAATCTTGAGGGTCTAGTGATCGAGGGATGGCATGTTGTTTAAATGTCTTAACTAGGGGGTGACATGCAGCAGCAGTTCGGAAGTAGCTAGCTCTAATAAGATATTTTTACCTTTGATCATACCATGCTTTTGATATGTCGTTCTTGTGGAGTAGGTAGTGTTTGCCTATTTATAGTAACACGAGTAGTCGGCCTATGCGGTCTTGTCTTGCCGTGTCTTTTTTTAGATATCTTCTCGCCCTTTCTCATTTTCAAGGCAGGAAAAGGCATGAAAAAGCTCAAATTGTGCAGACGACTTTCTATGCACAACCTTTGATTTATCACGTCTCAGGGTAGTCAAGTAGACCGAATCCCATTGTTTGCGATACATCCTACTCGTAGACCTCCTTAGTCTGCTCCGTTATACTTAGCATGAACCAATTCCTTTCTCTCGGCTTGAATAAGCTAACATTCTCTAACTATGTTGTATATGGGTATGGAGCAAAAACAGCGCTAGAACGTAAAAGTACATGACACATATCACATATCACGGCCCGAACGGCCCGAACAACGAGGCTCGCGTATCAACCCCGTCCCCCGTCGAATCTCCCACAGAGCCCATCGGTACAAATTGCACCGGACCAGACGCTCCAAAACCATCCCAATTAACCGCCGCAGGATTCGCAACGCTAGTCGGCCAAGGCCACACAGCAACCCCAGCCCCAGAAGCCGAATTAACCCCGAGCACGGGCTGCTGCGGCGCAGGAACCTCACCGACACCCATTACCCGACTTTGCGGAGCAAAGCTAGTCCGCGGCCGCTTGGGCGGTGGTGGCCCCTGAATATCGACCGAATTAGAATCGGCACTGGGCTCTACGCCCCGCGGTGGGTTCCACGGGGCCGGTCTTAGCGGTCTCGGGCGCGGTGGCTCGGGCGCACGGACCACGTTATCGGGCTCGAAGAGCACGATCGAATGTGCCAGCGGAGCCATGCCGGCCGAGGCCTCGTCGTCGGGCATGGGCAGGAAGGGCTCGTTCTGGATGATCTCGCTCATGGTTTTGTCGTCCACCGGGTTCTTTCCTGCGTTCTTGGTCTCCTCGGAAGTCATGTTTTTGCTGCGGTGGAGCATTCGATGTTCGAGGGTGTTGCCTAGGACGAGCGTTTCGACGTAGACGGGTCTTTTCTGGCCGATTCGGTGCGCGCGTTTGATGGCTTGGCTTTCCACGTTGCGTTCCCAGATTGGGTTGACGATGTACATCCGTGAGGCTTCTGGGATGTGCAGGCCGTGCGCGGCTTGTTTGACGTTCATTAGTAGAACGCGGACTTTGTCGTTTTGGCGGAATGCGGCCAGATTCTCGGATTTGGTGTTGTAGCCCATGCTCACGGCACTAGCGTAGGTGCGGAATTTGACGCCTATTAACTGTAGGCCTTGCTCGACCCAGGAGGCAACGTTGTCGTGCTCGTAAAAGATGATGATTTTCTCGGTCTTCTGGAACTCCAGCACTTGCTCTAACAAGTACCGAAGCTTGGCCGATGCTACTCCTTCCAGCTTTGTTTGTTCAAAAGTCTGTGGGAGATTCTTCTCAAAGCTTTGTTTATCCTTTTTCTTTGGCGGGGTTGATTCCTTTGGATTCATCCGCCCCTGGGCACCACTGTAAGCAGAACGAGCCGTCTGGTGCTTAAGCAGCCCCTGTCGAACTTTGATACCCTCTCCTGCGAAACCTGCAGTGGGATCGATCCTGCCCATATTTTTCATCACGAATTGTTGCGCGCGAAGGGCCTGCGTCATACCCATGAGCAGGGGCTCGCGGTCGGCGTCTGTGGGATCAAGAGCCCACATGTTGCGAGCATGCTCTGGGAAATTTCGAACAAAGACGCCAAGCTCATGCATGTTTTTAAACCCATTCCAGCCGGTGGAATTAATTGCCTTTCGCGCGATCTCGATGCCTTGTTTTAATTGGTTGACATCTGCCACTGTCATCTTCTCTTCGTTTTTCTGCAGATATTCCAGAGCAATGTCAACAGTACTTTGGACATTGTCATCGCCAGCCCACCAAAATCCAGCAAGACGTAAGTTTTGTATCAACTCCATGAGTCTATTCTTTTTCCCTGTCTTCTTCCCATTGAACATATAGTCGGGGCCTTCACGTTCAGATGTAATGGCGTTGACTGCGAGTGTGAAGAGGAACATGTTGATATAGAGCCGGTCGTAGAAGGTCGGCTCCAGGTAGATGACCTTGTTGTACAGCGGTGGAAGAGTGATCTCTTTCTTGACTGTTTCGTACCGGTGTCGCACAACAAGACCTTGAAGGATCGCACGTAGAGAGGGAGATTTTCGACGAATGCCATCTTCACCCACCGCTCTTGTGTAACGTACCCAATCTTCGGGATTGTTGGCCCAAGGCTTGAGGTTGAAGAAATGATGAACCATGTCACCCAATTTACTCACATTTTTGATTTCAGTATCGACGGCATTGCCCGTCTTTTTGTGAAACTGCAAGGATGCGTCTTCGTCCGACGATACAGGATCGTCTATGTTCACTTCCCGCGATGCAATGCTCAGTTCCACTCCATACAACTCCGAAAGAGGGGTTCCCGAAATCATCCAGCGGCGCTCGAATTTCAGTTTGCCTAGCAAGTGGGACAAATTCGTCACTCGACTGGAAAGGTCATGCCCTTCATCGACAATAACTCGCAACCAGTGAAGATTGAAAAGAGGAGAATCCGGCCTCTTCCCACGGCTTGGATTCTCTCTAACGCATCGGGCTTTAGTTAACAACACAATATCAAATTTCAGAAGTTCGTCCGCTGACGGTGTTTCAGGGGTACTATTTCGCAGTACTAGGACATTCAGATTGCTAGTGTGGGTAGCGATCTCGCGTTCCCAGTGGTCCACCAAGTTGTCCGGGACAATAACGACTGTACCAGAGGAGAGACGAATTTCCTCGGGCAACTGGACGTACATTGATCTTGATCTTGCGTTCTCTTTTGCGGGTATAATATAGGAACCACGGTAGGTCTCGCAGGCCTTCTCACAATTAATGAGATATTGTCCACAGGCTCTCTTCTGGTCAATGTACTCCTTCCAGGGCAGAGAAAAGCGCCCAGCAGCAGCGGCAGTCATTTGCAATAATGTTCCAGTCTTTTTCCTGACGGGGTTCTCGAGTTTTTGATACTCCACCGGGATTTTGGGGAAATGTCCCCGTGTAGCCAATATCACAGCAAGACTGATGAGTGTTTTCCCGCATCCCATGGACTCTGCCAAAATCCCTAGTACTAGTCAGTATAGTTCACAAGATATTTAACCACCATCATTGAGAGATTAGCGGCAAAGATTACCTCCACAGGCCTCGGGATACAATATCTTATCACGCAAAATGCTCCCAGACTCCTTATTATAATAGAACTCCAACCCAGTCGGACCCCGCAAAGGCTGGAATCTCGGATCAAGCGCCAGGGCCGGCTGTACCTCCCGCTGAATCATGAAAGCAGCAGATTCGCGCTGAAACGGATGAAGCGATGTTTTAAGATTTCGAACCGAATTGGTAAGTAATTCATCCATAACACACCACGAGATCGGATCTGTTACTTGGTCCAAGTCTGGTTTGGGTTCTTGCAGCGTATTGTATATGTAATATAGTGATTCTTCTTCGCTGTCGGGTTGACTGTTGGCAAGTAGATCAAAACGGGCATCAATCAAGCCGTTCCATGCTTCAGAGGAGCTATCGATCATGGACATGACGGTTTTGAGAGCGTATCTGAGAGCCTTGAATTTGAGAGTCTTTTCGGATTGATCCCGGACTTTCTCTGCCCTTGGTAGCACGAAAATCTGTACATTTCTGCTGTCGACAAGAAAGCGTGTGCGGATCCATTCGTGTGTTTCCAGCAGTCTAATCTCGCAGCCCGGGTAGCGGGACGTGGAGCGGGATTTGCCCAAAACGCCGGCTGGGATATAGTTATCGAAATTCGTATTTGCCTTTGGGGTGCGGGGGTCGAGAGGCGACAAATGAACCTCGGGATCTAGAGGCAGATAGCCCTCTCTACCCAGAGGTGGAAGATGTTCCCCTCGATTTAGAGATGACCGATCCGTCTCTGGGTCAAGGGGCTCATCTATCTCTGCGACTTCGAATTTCACATCGGGCGGAGGGCTGGCCGGGGGAATAAAAGGAAGACCAGAAGGTTCAGAGCTTATTAGTATTGGTGACCTGTTCCAGCGCTCGGGGCCCAATTGGGACAGGTCCGACATGGTGAATAGTTGCAGGGAAGACAACATGCATGGATAAAATGGAATGCGGAGATAGTTAGGCATAGGTTAGTTAATGGTGACCGCCCTAGATAAGTGGCTCTGCCGAGGTCGGGACCCAGAGGCTCCAACTTTCGGTAGACCAAGAGGGCCCGAGCGCTGGTTTCTTAAGACTTTACATGTCACCTCGATTGTTATTTTAACCTCATTATACTGTTAACTGTTCACTGTTCACTAGTAATATTGTTATATTAGAAACACGATGAGCCATCATCAAATTACCACGATCTCATCTATCACACGCCCCAACCAATGAACCCAATCCTAATGCACCAAATAACATTATATAGCCCAGCCCAAGCAGGCTAAGCTTACTGCGTCAAAAAATCCTCAATCTCAAAACCCATCCGCTTCAACGCCTTCTCCTCCAAATCCCTCCCAACAACTTTCCGTAGCACCACCGTGCGCACATCCTGCAATCGCACCTCAACCGGATTCCCACCTATGCGATCAAGCTCCTCCTTGCTGCACTCCCGAATGTAAACTGTGATATCAGGACCCACGCACGCGCGCCACAGTGACGCCATCCACTGCCAATGATCGAGCGGCGCGTAGGAGTCGCCGATGGGCGTGGAGCAGGCGAATGCGTCTGCCGTGGTGAGCTGGTAGCGTGGGACGAGCGCGATCGGTACGCTGTAGTGGCTGGCTGATGTTTGGGTGCTGACCTCGGAGCCGTTCTCGCTGGACAGAGCTGGGGAGTGGATGTGCATGTTTGCGGTCTTGGGGATGAGGGTGCGGGGGGAGACGTTGGGGACGGGGGTTTCCTCGTCTGTGGTTATAGAGCGGGCGTCGACGGAGCCGGCTCGCGAGGTGGGTTTCACGAAGTTGACGACTTCGTCGGAGATCCGGTGCCAGGCGGAGATGGTGTTGAGGTAGTCGACTGTCGCGTCGCCCATCTGGCCGGCTTCTGCGGAGGTTGGTCGGGGGGCTTTGATTTCTGGACCGTCGAATACCCGGACGTGGTACTTTGTTTCCTTTTTTAGAAGGTTGTTGAGGTATTCGACGGCTGCTTGGACGAGGTCCGGGTCTTGGCCGTCGACGGCGATGACGGGGCCGCGGGCTGGTGGGATTCCGTCTCGGAATGAGGGGAGGAGGGGTGGGGAGATCTTGGCGAGGACTTTGATCTTGTTGAGGAAGGGGATTGTCATGACTGTTGCTTCGACACTGGAGCCTTCCTGTGGATAGGGTGTCATGGGAGTCATCACCGGTGTTGTGGTCTGGAGTGGCGGTAGCTTCAGACTGGGGTCGGGGTGTGACTGTCCCTGGACGCTTTGATATGGCCGTTGCGGTTGAAGCATGGGGAGATGGCGTGGCGGCATCTCCGGGCGAGCACTCCAAGGGGTCATCGGATGCGGTGACTCTGGAACGCCGTTGCCAGGACTGTGGTCCCGGTAGGGATGTAAAGTTGGCTTGAATGAGGCCTGGGATACCCGGCGGCGTTTGTTGTCGGGAGATCGACCACCGGGTTCCTCCCAGTGTCGTTGGCGAGAACGGGGATCGTGGTCCATCTTGGCCGACTTTGGTGGATTAGGGTCTTTCTCATGGCCTTGGACGCTTCTTGGCGGCATGCTACTTGGGTGTGGTGAGAAGTTTGATGGTCGAAACCCAGGCCCACTGCTGGGTGTGAACGGGGTCATGGGGGAAGCGGGTGCATTCATCAATCGGCCACCACATCTGTTACAATGTGATGAGCCAGATGGGTTGTGCCCAATTCCTGTGGCCGAGCTTCGGGCGCTTCCATCCCGACCATACCGCCGAGGCTGGTAGCGGTAGTCAGGGTATTGCTGCTGATGGCGAGCTTTTTCCTCCTTGTAATTGTCAGTGTTTGAATTCATATCTCTGGGAATGCTTTCATACCTCTGCAAGTGCCTTCCATTTACTCTTGTCCTCCTCAGAAAGAGAACGCCACTGTTCTCCAATAATCTTGGAGATCTCAGGATTGGCCAAGCCCGGGTTATGAGCAACAACCATGGCCTGATAATGCTGGCGATACAGAATAAACGCTAGACCAATATTAGCCATGTCCATGCATTCGAAAGATCCGATCTGGCTGACGACGACCAAAAAAGAAACAATCGAAAAAGCACTTGCCAAACTGTAATGACGGTGCGGACAGTATCGACTCACCATTACGAGGCCGGGGAATCTTCGGATCTGGCTGGCAGAGGCAGAACTGCAGGGCACTCTCTTTGTGTGATTTGATAGGACTGGTACTGCTAGCTGACGAGGAGGAGGATCGATCCGATCTCTCTCGCAATGGCAATTCCTTGGTGGAGATCATGGGTCCGACAGGCTTGCCGGGGCCATTGGAGGACATCCGGTGTGCTTCTTTGGAGATATGTTGATGTGTCTGATGTATCCCCGTTGACCTCGGATCGGCGTATCTGACTGCGCCGTCGGGGTGTCTCATGGCCATGACCGACTTGGGCAATTCTTCGTTCATAACTTTGTGATCGAGTAAATTGCTCGGTCTAGGCAGCGAGACTTGGGCAGACTCATAACGTAGAGCAACAGGGTTGGGGAGAACTCGATCGTAAGACATTTATTTAATACTTTTCTCTGAATGAACTGGCTCGAAGGCGAAGATGGGATCAAAGAAAGATTGGTCACAAGGGAAAGGTAGGAGAAAAAAAAGTGTATATACGGCTTTGAAAGAGAAGGCAGAAGTGAATAGGTTTGGGGGCGATTGGGCCCCAAGAAATAACAAGAAAGGAAAGAGATGGGGACCGACGGCAACAAAGAAAATGAATCCGTTCGGGAGGAAAAATGGGAAATAATCCCAATAAGAAATGCGTGAAAGACCGGGGAATATCAGGGATCAGGACAAAGCGAAGTATATGGGCGTTTGGACACAAAAGCCCTAAAAGCGGGTTTTCTTTGTCTTGTTGGGTGTTCCCCCCGGAATCCCTGTCTAGCGCCTGGTTCTTTGACAATAGCTCCTGGGCCTTGGGATTCTGACCGAGCCAACCGAGAGAAAAAGAAATTAAAATAAAAAGTACGAAAAGAGGATTAATCGCGGGTTTTCTTTGGTATATTCGCTATAGGGAGACTTGGGGGATCTCGATTTCTATACTCCCAACGACACGGTACCTTCCGATTAGGCCCAACCAGAGACCGAAACGAAAAGAAGAGAAAAAGAAAAGAAAAGAAAAGAAAAAAGAAAAAGAAAAAAACCAAAAGAAACCAAAAGAGACCAAAATCGATGTGTCAACTCCCAAATCCCCAAGAAATCCCCTATTTCCCTCTCTTTCCCTGGCCAAGGCCACTAGAGTCATTGTTTTCTTTGTCTCCGGATGCGGCGACCCGCTTGATCGAGCTGGCCCACGAGGGTCCACTATGGTCCACCCCAACTTATTACCCGGCCGGTGATTGGTCGGGGTATGTCCTAAATCAGTTCCCCGGCAAATCAGACAAAGAAAACAAATTGGGTTATTTCTTATTTCTTTCTTATTTCTTTCTTATTTCTGGAATTCATTGAAACAATTAATTTCGCCTTTTTAGACTTTGAGCTTGATTGTCCTTGTCAGCTGTTCGATTCATAAAATAGTTATTCTTCAAATCTCCCGTAATTGCAAATCACCGCCATCAGACTGCCGGGATCTGGGATGATCTCATTGCCGATCTCGCGATCCACTGCACGTTACAGTCACTGTCACTTGTGGGCTTCGAACAATACCACCCTTTCCCCCCTATTTCCCTCTTGTCTCGGGTAATGGATATCGGTCTGGATCTTCCCGTGTTCCAATAACCCCATCTGCAGGTTCCAGGTTCCAGTTTGACCATCGGTACTACCGTGCCCTTTGGATGTCCAAGGGTTCAGATCCACCGCACACACTTTGATTGTCCAGGAACTGGCCATGGCTCACCCGCATCAAGTATAGTTTCTGCGTTTGACTTCGCGGGTACCGACATCATTGCTATACACCCCTCCCCGGCCAGACGTCACCGATCTTTTCTTTTTCCTTTTCTTTCTTTTCTCGTTTTTGAGTTGTTTGTCTGATTTTGAAGGTTTTGAATCTTTTGAATCTTTGAATCTTTATTCATCTGGACAATGTCTAAGCTGCAAACCCCCGGTTGTGGCGCTTCTCGGTCCCATTCGGTTTCAACATAATCCCATCAATCCCATGGTAAATCTCCGCCGCCATGAGCCGGTGTGCTGAAGGACCCAAATGCATGTCGTTCCTGAAATCATCAATGTCACAGTCAGCAAAAAAAGGCATTGGACATGTCGATCCCTTCCCCAACCACATTTCATACACAACTGATAAGGAATGATGAAAAGAAAACCACTCACCAGAACAGATACCTCTCTGGATCTTCACACTGTTTCTTCTCCTTTGACATCATGACCTGGACCCCACTCTCAACACAAGGCTCCACGACATTCTCCCACCCAGGAACCAGGTTCTTGCCTAGACCATTCTCTTCCTCAATGCCTGCCGCATAGAGCTGCCAGTCACGGATGCGGTCCATCATAAAAGCATTAGTATCAAACAGATAGATAGTGCCCTGACTCCACTCCCGAGCCACCTCCCGCAGCTTCCCATTCCACTCGTCCAGGATCCGCACCGTATCCTTGTACTGATCCCCCACCGAGTTAAACCCGGGCAGGAAAGTCACGTCGACCGTCTGCGTCAGAATAACCTTCAGGTCCGTGGTGCCCCAGCGATCGGACAGCGTGTCGAGCTGGCTCATAAGCGTTGCAATGCGCCGCTCAACCGATTTGCTTGCTACGTCGTAGTCCTTTGTAACCAGGCTCCAGAGATCCCACACTCCGAACGAGACGACGAAGATCGTGCGGTCCTGCCGGGACCGCACCTCTTCCTCGGGAAGATCCTTCGTCGCGGCGGACTCGGCGTCTAGCCATTGCCGGAGCTGCGACTTGAAGTCGGCGATGTGGGTCTGAGACAGTCGGTCTAGATGGTCGAGTTCTGAGTTGTCGACCACCGCGCCGATGTTCTTGCCTGGATTGGCTGTTTGTGCTAGGTTCTCTTGGTGGCAGGAGAACTAATCGTGTTTCAGGTTCTGTCAGACACGCTTGTTTCTCCTTTAATCTCTCGGGTGGTTATCTTACCATTGAACAAAGCCGGTCCGTCCAAATCCTGCCCTGCGCCTCGTCGGATTTGTTGTCGCTCCAGGAGTCGCCGAACACCACTAATCGCTTGTCGAATGTGCTGGCTACTTGGAACGGTTCTGAGACCAAGGGGACGATATCGGAGAACCCCCGTGACGTCAAAAACCACGCCGATGTGAAAATCATGCAGACTGCGACAGCAGCCAGCGCGTAGAAACGGTTAAAAAGGCGCGTCATGGCGACTGAACGGCCACAGCCAGAATAGGCCCCTTGAGCAATGTCGAGCAATGTCGAGCTTGGACCTCACGTCGTCCGCTTGTTTCGGAGACGAAGTCGCCACAAATGCTCCCAAAGTATATAGCAAGCTCCCAGACAGCAATTTGAGACAAGATAATCAGGAACAGAATGTCTCACCGATTGTGCGGGGAACCAGGAGATTATCCGGCACTGCAAAAAAATTGGAGATTGCGACGAAATCCCCCACTCGGACAAGAAGCACCGGCAAAGTTGGGTATGTGGCGGTTCCTCCAGAAACGCTATGGGAAAATGGAAAGAAGATAGAAACCGGACGGAAGTGTCTATATTATAAGCTAGGACTAGCAAGCACAAGACCTAATTCCCAAAAAAAACCAGAATCCCTATGTGAGGCGCGAATTCGTCACATTTGTAGGTTGGCCGCGTGGCTCGGAGAGCCGAGTCGACTAACGTCCGACTGGACAAATCAGAGTCGCCGATTTAGAGCCACAATTGCTTGATCTGGTATTTTCTTCCGCATACGGAGTCGGCAAGCTTCTCGGTGATATTATGGTTCTCCTGTCCCTTTCGCGTTTCTTCAGCTCCGAATAGTGGAGATCAGGTCTAGACTTACGGAGTACCTCGCATCGCATACAAAGCCCGGCACAAGGCCACGTCCAGGTTCTGTTTCGCATTGTCTCAAGGGATTTGGCGTTCCTTTGAACTATTTGCCCGTCGGACATGCAATTGTTTCTCGGTATGATAGACATGCCAAGACATTATATACTGCAGATCTCTAGAGCGGAGTTTGTGACACAACGTTTTTATTGGGAAATGATGCATGGAAGAGAATAAAGTATGGAGGAAAGGTACGAGGATTGGCCTATTAATTATTTTCATCTTTCTATGACAATATGAGGGGAGAGACATCTAAAACACATTCAAAAACACATCGTAGGGTTTATCTTGAATATAACCTTCAAACGTCCCTAATATGGATTTGAGCCCAATGGATCAGATTTCTGAATCCCAGGACTAATCCATCTATCCATGAGATATTGTCTTACAAATCCAGGGGTTATGCACTGGCGTTTGCAGTGTCTGACATGCGGGTTCACATCAAAGGTCCTCAAATATAGTTAGTGGAAGCTGTTATTTGCAATTGTCGTACGAGGCTCGTGGTGGCTGTCAATGAGGCGTTTGTGAGACCGTGCTCAGTCTTTGATATGTATAAAAGTTGAGTTCGGCCGGTCGAGACTGAGTCATGATCCGAAACATTTGTTCATCATTCCGATGGTGATTCAAAGTCGGTTGTGTTCGAAAGTCACACTGGGAGGTTTCATGCCAGTAAAGGAGACTGTCGGTTCAAGGCGGATGGAAAGCTGTAGTTGCTGGCGGTCCTGGATATGTGTTGTTTCCTGGATGCATAGCTGTCGGATAAGTCTTATATTCATCGCTAAAAGTATCAGTTATTTTAGGGGCCAGCGCTGTAGATTTGTTGAGTCGAACGAAGAAAAGAAAATGTCGGGGTGCTGATGCACAGTCACATGACCTACCAAACCACGCTAAACCCCATCTAGCCGACGTAAGCCCTACTTCCCACACGTGACACGTGACTTGCACCTCGCTAAGCCGGCGAACTAAAAAAATCCACAATACAGACTCCCTCGACGACAATCTCACAAATCGACAACACCCGCGCTACCGTCTTGACCGCGCCGCCTCCGTCAAGATGAAGCTCAACATCTCCTACCCGGCCAATGGGTCCCAGAAAATTATCGAGATCGATGATGAGCGCAAGCTCCGTCCCTTCATGGAGAAGCGCATGGGCACCGAAGTCAGCACTCCCTTCTTCATCCTTCCCCGCCTATCCGACATTCAATCGATGAACAACATACGCACACACACGACTATTAGAACAACTGGCTAACTGGTATCTCTTTTGATTAGGTTGCCGGCGATGCTCTCGGTGACGAGTTCAACGGTTACGTGTTCAAGATTACCGGTGGTAACGACAAGCAGGGTACGCATACAATCTCTATTCCCAATGTCGGAGCAACAATTCGACAACGGAGAATACAACTCAACGCACATAAGAGAACCACAATGCTGACGATTAATTTACAGGTTTCCCCATGAAGCAGGGTGGTACGTACACAGCCGCACAACAACCTGGGGAATGATCAAAAAAATTATATCCAACCCCCAGGGATATCAACAAACCGCAGGATGCTCATCGAATGATTTCTACAGTTCTCCTCCCCACCCGTACCCGTCTGCTCCTTGCCGACGGCCACAGCTGCTACCGTCCCCGCCGCACCGGTGAGCGCAAGCGCAAGTCCGTCCGTGGCGCCATCACCGGTCTGGACCTTGCCGTCCTTGCTCTCTCCATCGTCAAGCAGGGCGAGGGCGAGCTCCCCGGCCTCACCGACACCGTTGTCCCCAAGCGTCTCGGCCCCAAGCGTGCCACCAAGATCCGTCGCTTCTTCGGTCTCGACAAGAAGGACGACGTCCGCAAGTTCGTCATCCGCCGTACCGTCACCAAGGAGGGCAAGAAGGATTACACCAAGGCCCCCAAGATCCAGCGTCTGGTTACCCCCCAGCGTCTCCAGCGCAAGCGCCAACGCGTTGCCATCAAGCGCCGCCGTGCTGAGACTGCCCGTGATGCTGCGTAAGACTCCCTCTCTTTAGCTCTGATCAATGATCTACAGGTTTATTGATTTGATTTGGAACTCGAACTAACGGTTACATAGTAACGACTACGCTAAGCTCCTTGCCGGCCGTGTCCACGAGGAGAAGGCCAAGCGTGATGAGCTCCGCAAGCGGAGAGCTTCTTCCATGCGGAAGTAAACTTCCAAACCCGCGGTTTTATGATTTCGTTCTGCGGCGATGGGGTTTAATGGAGGAGCTTCACGTCTCTGGGATGATTTGAGGGGAATTCACAAAAAATGAATCACTCTCAGGGGCGCGGAGGATACATATCTGATAAAAAAGAAATGGGAACAAGAAAAGTGACGGGGAACAGGTCTCAAAACGTACAAAGCAGGCTGAGTGGTTGATACTCCCTTGTGTTTGGCTACGGTGATTTCGGGCCTTGGGAGTCGCAATGCATATCTGTGTTGAACCTACCTTTTTTTGATGACCCTTTTTTTTTGAATGGAGTGCATGCAAATTTCAATACTCAGTTCTGTCAATTGCTCATGGCTTTTTCAAGGAGTAGGCGTAGCATATTGTATTCCTCTCTGTGGACTCGTCTACTCCACTTGAATGAAGTGTCAATGAAGTGACTTAAACACTAGTTCAATCAAGTCATTACCTTAAATTCCCCGCTGCCAGTTACAATTCCCCCAAAGTCATGTTTAGGTATAGGTCACGTGGTATACGTCTATGATATGGAAAGGCGTTCGGAATTATGTTTTTCAAGATATGACTGCACTTTGCGGTCAATGGTACGTATTTGGAGAATATATAAATGGGACAAGTTTTCGCTTCACCTCCACGGCCAGTAATGAACCCCTGTTGTAAACCTATATATATCGTAGGATCAACAACATATTAAGACTACACCGATCCAGTCAACAGTCATAGCAGCACCCCCTCAATAAGAAAAGACGATCTGATTCAAGTTGTAAAGCGGCCCCCAGACCTCGCAATAATCTAAATCAAATAGAAAGTACATGTACTCTGCATATCAAGACCACACACATGCACGATGCAACCGAACCCAGCCAAGGATAACCAACTTCCGCCAGAGAGAACTGCGCAGATCCAACACTTAAACCGTCGATCTCTCTCTTCAAAAGAAAAGTATAGTAAACAATAATAAAACACCCGGGGACTAATATCCTCGTCCGGCTAATAAAGGTCATGAAAATCGTATTTTTTTGTTTCCCGCTCACTCCGCGGGTTTCACGCCAACATTCGTAGGTAATCACTAGGACAACCCGTAGATTTGATCCTCTGTCTTGATGTATAAATTCATTTCTGCCCCTGATTTACCCCACGGTGTGCGAGAACAAGAAGCTAACTGACTCGCCGTTGTGTGTACGACGGCAAGCCTCTGCCAATGTCGGGCTGATATCGATCGTATGGATCTTGTCGCACTGCTCCTGCTTGTCGCCCAATGGGACAGTGTTGCTGACGATAATGCTGCGAGAAAGTTAGCCAAAGGTGAACCGAAAAATCGGAAACCATCCAAGAGTGCAATGACTCGTCGATGGCATTCGGACATGCACATACCGCTTGAGGCAGCTACCGTTCAGGTTCTCAATAGCCTTGCCGGACAGAATACCGTGGACAACGATGGCGTTGACTTCGGTGGCACCGTGCTGCATGACGGTTTCGGCAGCCTTGACGAGCGTCCCGCAGGTGTCGGCCATATCATCGACGATGATAGCGACCTTATCCTTGACGTTACCGACAAGGACCATGCGCGAGACCTCATTGGGGCGGGCACGTTCCTTGTGAATAAGTGCGAATTGCAGATCCAGGCGATCGGCAATGGCAGTAGCACTAAATCCACATTAGCCCTTGAACTATACATATACGTGTAGTATCAAGATAGACATGGCTTACCGCTTGGCACCGCCAGCATCCGGGCTGACGATGACACAGTTGCTGACATCGAGGTTCTCGCGGATATACTTGAGCATGCTAGGCTCGGCGTACAGGTTGTCGACGGGGACGTTGAAGAAGCCCTGGATCTGGCTGGCGTGCAGGTCCATGGTGATGACGTGGTTGCAGCCGGCGGTCTGGAGCATGTTGGCCATCAGCTTGGCGGTGATGGGAGCACGGCTCTTGTCCTTCTTATCTTGGCGGGCATAAGGGAAGTTGGGAATGACGGCTGTGATACGGCGGGCCGAGGCGGTCTTGCAGGCGTTGATCATGATCAGGAGCTCCATAAGTCCATCGTTGATATCATTGGGTTTTGTCGATTGGAGGATGAAGACTGTAACAAATCATATATATATGAGCGGGGGTTCTTGATATCACGATTAAGGTGGGATGTTCTTACCATCTTCGTCCCGGACACTCTCTCCGATTGTGACACTGGTTTCCTGGTTGGAATATTGCAGGACCATAATCTTGGTCAACTCAATGCCGAGCCTAATTCATAGTTCTAGAATTAGCCGGTTGCCCAGTTTTGCCCTAGCCGGTTGCACATACCGGTCAGCAACTAGGTTGGCAAGCTCCGGGTGACTGTTGCCAGTCAAGAGCTTAATGGAGTTGGTCGACATGATGTAGGGCTCTGTGAAACAGTAAAAGAAGAGATATTCAATCCAAGATGCACAAAACACACTCTTCTCCAAGATGACCGTGTTCGGCTCAAAAAATCGTTTTTCCTCCGCGGCCCCGCATGTCTTTTTTTCTACGTAGTCCCGTGACGGGCTGACCGCCTGATGACATCAGCAAGCCCTGGAAGCCCTGAAGTTCTACTCACAATGGCCAGTAAAGTACGGATTAGTGCGCGGCGGATTCGAAGTAAAAGAAATAAATGCAGCAATCTAAGTACATAGAGAGGGCGCTGGAAAAAACACGGTTGACCTGCACTTCAACCGAATTCCTTACCACTTGCCTCAGTTTTCATCTTCTCATAAAGAAACTTCTCCACTTTCCGCATTCGTCCCCATAATAAGAAAATCTCGTAAGAACCGAGAGAAACGCCGTGCAATGCTTTGGCTTGATAAAACCATTCCCATGCCGTAGAGTAGGACAACAGTCTAGGCAAATCCGAAGTACTCACTTCCAGCCGTGACGGCCGTGTAAAGGCGTTGACGGAGATCTTCGTAACTTTCATACTCAGGAAGATCAAGCTCTGTTAAAATAGTTAGTAAAATGCGCTAATGCAGTCAAGAAATGCGGAGAAAAACTTACGGTTGAAGCAGGTATGCGAGCTGGGAAGGCGATCCTTATGGCCATAGTCGCGATGGATGTTGAACTTGCTCACACCGTTCATACCCTCAAGTTCCTTGAAGCCATTGAGAGGAACCTTACTGGTTCCAGTGACGAACTGCAACAGCTTGGCACGCTCCTCCTTGTCGAACGAGCGGACGGCACGCCAGAACCACTGGATTTGCGAAGAGGACGCGGAGTAGTTGTGATACTCGGTGTTGTTCTTCCACTCGTCCACATCAATCTCAGGAAGACCAGAAATCAAAAGTTCCAGCTCTTGCTCGTTGAAAATGGAGATCAACTCGGGAGGAATGATTTCGTGGAAACCCTTGAGGAAGTTGTCCAGTTGTTCACGAACCGACTCGACGAGGCGATATTCGACCACGCGCTGAACGTACTCTTCCTTGTTCTCCTGTGTAACGGGAATGTCGTGACCACCGGGCTTCAGGTCGATGACCTGCTTCTCGCCAAAGTCATCGGTTTCAATGGAAAAGGTTTCGGTGATGATATCGGTAATGTCGTTCTCCAGCATCCACAGAAGTGATTTGTAGTAGTCCAAGTCGAGCGTTTCCATATCCTTGATAGACACGGATCGTCCGAGGATATTCTTGTAGACTGCTCTACTGAAGTGACAGTCGAGAACACGACCTTCGTACAAGGCCTTACCGATGATGCGCCCGATGAACTTGAAGAACATCAGATGCTCCGAGTTGACCCCACTGAGGCGATTGGGGTGGAATGTGGTCCGATCAGCGGCGACAGGGATGAACAAAGCGTAGTTGGGGTTGAACATGCCACGCGCAAGAACCTGGAACCATTCTCTGGTGACACCACCAGCATCGACACCCTCCTCGCCATGGAATCGTACATTCAATTTGCCATACTTCAACTCATCCGCGCTCTTGAAGTACAATGACTTGAAAGAGTCAAGGAAAACCTCAGCTCTGCGCACAGAGAGCTGAAGAGGAGGATGAGGGTGGCGAGGCTCGGCACCGCGGGAGTGGACACGACGAGTGAAGTAGTTGCGCTTGTTATCGAATTCCAAGACCTTGGGGTTCTTGACCAATAGAGAGAATGTGCCGCTCATCAGGCGGGGGTTCTGGCGGACGAGCTCATTGAGAATCTTGCGATGTTCTTCTGTGAACTTGAAGAATATGTTTTCCATGCTGAGACCAGCATCGGCTGGGGTGCTGTTGACTGACAATTCGCGGCTGCCGCGAGATAGCGGCTGGTCCTTCAGCGTGGTGTTCTTGCAAACGACCATCAATGCCTCAATGAGAGGGAGGAGAATAGTAGCCACGTTCAGCATATTCTCTTTCTGCCGAATGACAGTCAAGCAGTCGCTCAGTTTGCTCCAAAGCGGGCCGAAAGTGGCGCTTTCATAGAGTTTCTTGAGCACATCTTCCTTCGGAGCGGATCTAGGCTCGATATCCTTGGACTTGTCCGCTCGTGCTTGGTCAAACAGATAATCAAGTGCGGTCAGGATACGTAACAATTTCGCCTGGTCTGAGCTAGCCGGGGAGAACTTGGCCAGAGCAAGGCCTTGCATGTCGGTACCAGTCTTGGCCTGGCGGATATGAGGGAGAAGATCCTCCAAATCACCCAGGATGGTATCGCTGAGGGCCTGCGCTTGAGCAACCAATTCATTGCCGATCACATCTCTAGCTCCGGGAATAGCGGAAAGATTGTTGATGGTGGAAAGTGTATCGCGGAATATCTTGCCATTGCACTCACGAGCCGCAAGGATGTGGACAACTAATCGGAAGTTGTGATCCGGAACGACAGGAGGCTCGATGGTTCGCTTCTTGCGCTTCCCGTCCCCGGTGGGCTCCTTGGAATCTTCAGGTTTCTTGGCTTCAGCTGAAGTAGCCTCTTCACCCTCTGCGGTCTCTTCACTAGGGACTTCGGAAGTTTCCACAGTGGGAAGCGGAGCATCCGTCATGGATGTGTCCATACTGGAGTCGGCAGCCTCAGAAAGTTCGGCAGATGCTTCGATTTGAGGTCGCTCAGGCTTCTTGCCCTTGTCCTCTTCCTGTCGCTCCTTCTCACGACGAAGGAGAACAGTCAATGGCTGTGTGATACTGCTCAGGAGGCTAGACACCTGCTCCATGCAATTAGGGCTCTCCATTATCAACTTGCGGTCAAGAAGAGAAAGCAGGGCATTCAGAGCGAACTTGTTAGCTCGGTTATCTTTGCCTTTGCCCTTACGCAATGACTTGAGTTTACCAGCTGAGGCAGAGTCATGTTCCGTTAGGAAGAACCAAGCAATGTGTGGGTTGAACTGCGAAAGGAAAGACAGCGCGGCGATACATTGTTGGATGACCATAATCGGGGTCACTTCGCTGCTGACGCTCGAGGCAGTCTGGATAGCGAGGGATCGCTTAGACTGAGGCGTCTTTTGTGCTCCTGGTGCCTTTGCACGCAGAGAAAGATGAGAAAAGCTGCGTTCGATCGCAGTGGAATCGACGCTGCCATCCTGCAAGATCGAAAGAAGAACGCTGAGCACTTCACTCCGGTTCTGGCGGTTCTCGCAAACATTGTGAAGAATATCATTCAATTGATGGCGAGCGTTGCCCTGAAGAGGCATAAACATTAGACGGAGAAGGGTTGCAACGCCAGCCTTGTCGAGCATTTGAACAGTTTGACGTCTCTGCTCTTTCTTCGACTCTTGGCCTGCAGCAGGCTGGCGGTGATCAATGGCACTCATGTCACCAAACTGGGCCATGCGTCGGCCGCTACCGCCCATACCACGAGCTTCATTCAAGTAATCCGGGCCCAAGGTTGCGAGAACATCCTCGGGCTGATCGGCCAGAACAGCCTGGCGCAAAGAGGGATCGAGAGTGGCAAGGAAGCTAACAGCATCCATTTCTTCCGCCGGTTGAGTGCTAGAAGTAGCACCAGCACCACCAGCAGCGGCCGCCTGTCGTCGTGCGGTCTCACGTTCCCGTCGGCGTCGATCGGCCGCTTCTTGTTGCAGCAATTCTTCGCGGATTTCGGCAGGCAAGGCCTCAAGGAATTCTTGGTTTATCTCAGTATCCTCCTCACCCGCAGCAGCAGCCTGGGACCGATGTTCAGCAAGCTGTTGCATGATGACCTCCTCCCGAAGTTCCTCAGGAAGAGCCTCTAGATATTCTGAATCGATCTCGAGACCGGTGATATCAACTTGGCGGCCCCTGATGTTCGTGTAGACTCGACGAGCGGGTTCAGCGGGTTGGGCTTCGGGTTGAGTAGATGGGCCAGCGTCTTCAACCGTATCGGTTTCTTGGACGTCTTCCATGGGCTCATCAACCCCTGCAGCTTGGCGCTCGGCTTCCTGTTGTTCTTTCTCTGCCTGTAGCCGGGCGTTCTCCTCCTCCTCCTTTTGCTTAAGCTCGCGCTGTTTTTCTTCAGCGGCAATGCGATCTTGGCGGTCCTTTTCAGCCCTTTCGGCTTGAACACGCTTGCGTTCCTCTTCCGCGAGCTTCTGGCGCTGCTTCTCCTCCTCGATGGCAGGGGGAACCAAGAGCCTCAGAATGGAGTTGACGACGCGCTGGGTCCGCTCAATATACTGGCTGTTGAAGATAATGTGGGCCTCTTCTTGCCAGCGGTTTCTGGTGGTACCAAGACCAAACTTGACGGCAGTGTGAGGGTCGTCGCCGCGAGTGCGAGTTGGAGGGCCTGCTCCTCGGGGAATCCCGAGCATATCCTGGATACGACCAGGCAAGACCGCCCGTCGGTCGACATGGACGTGAATACCATCAGGGCGAGTGACAACGCCGAAACCTGGCGCTGCCTGCCCGCCAATGGCTTGCATAATGGCATTCATGAAGCTGATGGGGCTATCCATGGCAACAACCCGGCCACCTGCAGGGTCCATAGACTGGCCCCAATCGGCGAAAGCATCAGCAGCAACCCGAGGTGGAACAGTAGGATCTGGGCGGTCAGTCCGGACGAGAAGAGGATTAGTGCCATCGTCGTTGCCGTGAGTCGGGATTTGGGTTCGGTGGACACGGTGGTAAGGCTGAATGGGAACGAGACCGGATGGGCGACCCGGCATGATTTCAGTGACGGTAGCCCAGGCCGGTGGTGGGGCTGCGCGGAAGCGGGATTGCGCATGTCCTCGGGCCATTGGAGGTTCATCGCCTTCCCATCCCCACGGCTCAAGAAGATCATCGTCTTCTGGGAGAGTCAGCAATGCTGTGAGAAAATCATCGAGAGAGTTGGACTCACCTTCCATATCCTCATAAGATCCTTGGTCCTCATCGAAATCATCCATGTCCTCGTCAAGTTCATCCATTTCGTCTTCGTCTTCAACTGGACCGGATGTCAGCAAGGCTGGTGGTTGCGCCGGCATTTGTTGCCTCAGCAGTCTAAGGAGGGACAAACCATCTTCATCGAGGTCATCGATTTCTTCGTGAATATCACCACCTAGAGCATCTCCATGGATATCATCAACACCGGAACCATTGAGGGCACGGAATAGGTCACCAAGATGTTGATCTTCACCTTGGTGTCTAGTGGATTGTCTGATGTCGGCCATTTCATCTTCAAACTGGTTCATCATCTCGACCTCTTCTTCGTCTTCGGTCATTTCTTCACTTTCCCATTCGTCCTCTGCGCCATCTTCGAGGCTTTCGTTGTCTCTGTCACCACCGATTTCTCCATCATACATGTCATCATGCATGTCCGAATGGTCGTGGTCTTCATCATCTTCGTCCTCGTCCTCGTCATCATCTTCGTCAAGGATGACTTCGACTGCATCTCCGGAAAGACCTTCAATTGGACCCATGCCATCGTCGTCTTCGTCGCTAACGACTTCACCATCATCTTCAGCGACATCCTCGTCGTAGTCCATTTCTTCGTCATATTCATCATCGTACATCTCATCGTCCTCACCCTCCGATTCTTCGGTGCTGCTCTCTTCCTCGTCATGACGAGGCTCTAGCATGCCGAGAGTGGAGTGGCGGAAGAGGTCAGGTGTTTCTTCGCGTTCATCTTCCATGTCAGAAACGGAAGTTGCCGATGAGATCTCATCATCCTCGTTATCACCTTGGATAGTGATGTCCGAGGTCTCGCTGAGAAGTACGGCAGTCTGGGTAAGTTTATTCAACGGACGAAGAATATACTTAATGACACGTCTAGAGGACGGGAAATTCAAGTCGACATCGGCGACGGAAGAAGTGAGCGCGGGGATAAAATTCTTTTCGAACATGGTCTTCGCGAGCTGCCTGGTTGAAGTTGGGAAGCCCGCATCGTTGGTGAAGGAGTAGCCGCTGAGCATTTTATCGAAGAGGTCAGCAAGAGACATGAGCTTGGAATACTTGACATCTAGGGGTTCAGTAGAGGCCATAGCATCCTTGTAGGACCGGAGAGCATGCTCTAGCACAAAGCGGCGGACAAAAGCAAGCTCAGGCTCATCCTCCTCATACTTAGGGTCGGTACGACGTTTACCAACACCACCAAATTCACCGGTCTTGGTGCAAAGCGCAACAAGCACTTGCATGGTCCATGTGGAGGTGATACTGCGCTTTTTGAACACCAAAGACTCATCATGATCCATGGTACCAAGGGGAACAAGCACGTTCAGCAAATAGTTGAGGACGCCAGAGCGCGGTTTGGAGGGTGTAGTGGCTAGAGGATCAGCCTTGCGGGAAAAGTTGATGAACTCGACTTTAGTCCGGTTGTAAGAGGAAAGAAGTTCCGTCAAGCACTGAAGGAGCAAGCAGCGGTAGATGTAAATCGGATGGTCATCTGCCTTGAATTGGGGCTTTTCTGCCTTCTTGGAACCGCGAGATGTTTGTGCTTCGGCAGTGCTCGAAATCGAAGGTGTTGGCTCGTCCACAGCCATCTCAACATCAGTTTGAGTATCGGATTGGTCAGCTGCCTGCTCCGAGAATTCAAGACTGGTTTCTTTGTCGTCCACATCCTTGTAGGACAGAAGCTCCGAAAGCAGGTAATGAATAACACCATCCGGGTTCTCCACAATTGGGGCCTTGAGTTCGGCACCCTTGGTTTGGGCCTTGCCCTTGTCCGTGCCTTCAGGGGCAGATGCTTCACCCGCTGAAGATGATTCTGGCTTCGGCTCTTCAATAAAGACACTGGCTCTTCCTCGCTTTTGCTGCCGATCCTTGTCGGCCTTCAATCCAAGAACCTGTGGACGTTGATGGTTGTCATATCGGAGCAACCGTAGCTTTTCATTTGTAACCTCCACAAAGATATCAGGAGCTCTCAGCACGAGGTGATACATATGTCGTACATAGCCGTTCGTGTCCATCTGACGGGTAGTCTTGGACTCAAAGTTGGCCACAATTTCGCTCCTCATGATCTGCCGGATAGTAGCTTCGTCTTCGACGATGTGACGAAGAATCAGCATGAAGGCACTTTGGAGTTTATCGTTTGTAGCGCTAGAAAGTTGTTTAACCATCACGAACAAACGCTGAAGGTTTCGCTTCTCACCAAAGCGAGCGGCAATGCTGCGCTCGCGGGTGAGAATGACAAGAACACGGCACATGGAGAGCGCGAGTGTATCATCCTTGCCCACTCGGGGTAGGATCTCGACAAGAGCTTCAAATAGCTGGGTCTTCTCATCGAGGGAGACAAGTGGATCTTCAAGACGGGCTGGTTCATCGCCGCTGGGGTTGGGATCATCAAGACTTGGCAGTTTCCAGGCAATCTGGGGAGGCTGGCAATCATCAGACAGAAGCTTCTCGAGAATGAGAAGGACGTGTCCAACCCAAGGGAAGGTTTCTTGGTCGGCCTTTTCGGGTGTTGGGAGCTTGATAAATCCAAGGAAAGTCGAGAAGCAATCTTTGAGCTCTTCAAGAGTGGCGAGGTACATGTCAGGATCTTGAAGGGTCAGTGCGAGAATGTGGGCATAAGCTGCAATCTTTTTGCCAGCTGTCTGGAAGTTCTCCATTTGTAGAGAGACTAGCGATTGAACGAGGGTCTCTCCAATGTCTCGACGGAAGTTGACAGGCTCGTTGTGCTTCTTGATAGCCGAGGTGATCAAGTCAGACAGCTCAAAAGAGACATCATGATGTTCATTTAGAATATCCAGAGCCCGATCGATCAGGTTTGACCGAATGTTTTGCCTCTCTGCATCCAGATCTTCGATTGTGACCATATGGCGACGTTTCACCGGTTCTCCCTGAGGGGGCGCGGTAGATTCGGAAGAGCTTGCCCCGATATTACGACTCTCGGGCCGACGCTGGTTCGATGACTCGCCTCGGTCATCGCTATCCATGTCATCATTGTCGTTGAGAACATTGTCTAGAGCTTCGGCCAAATTGCGGTGCATGTCGGAGTCAATATCGCCTCCGGGGAAAGGAGGACGTTGCGCCTGAGCTAGAATCAACTGGAGGGCTCCAGAGCGGTCTAACGAATTGGCAGCATTGAAAGGTGGAACCTCTCCAAGACCAGGGTCATCGAGGAGGTCGATGCCAGAAGCAGACTCGGGTAGTCCGGTTTTGATATCGCCGGGACTCGGGGGTACTCTGGGAGGGGCTCGTAGCCACTGCTGGGCCTTGCAGTATTCTTCAGCCGCCGTTAAAAGATTGTTGCAACGATAAAGGGCTTCTTTATTGAGATCAACATCCGTGTACCCTTTCTCAAGCAAGGCAGTTGCTCGTTCCGTGTGGACCACGAATGGTTTCTTGGGCACCTCTACCAAGACGGGCGGGGTATCTGCTTTACGAGCCGCGCCAGCCTCGTATTCACCATCCAAGGAGAACCGCATGATATCAATCAACAATCGGACAATTGGACTCGATGACTGGGTCGCAAAGTCCGAGTTCCACATGTCTCTGGCCATGGGCAAGATCTCCATGCGAAGATCCACCAAGAGTTGACCTGGCTGGAAGTAGTCGGGACGGTCGCGGTCCCGGTCAGGGTGAGAAGTCAAGGCTTGTGTCTGGCTAGAGTCCACGATGAATTTCCCAGCAGTGAGGTCTGCGAATAATCCAAGAATGATTTTAATTCCACCATATCCGGATGCAAGCCGGTCAGCAAGCTCCTTGTCTTGGTCGGGAATAGACTCCGCAGATGGAAGGGACTTGATATCACTCAAGAAGACGTCACAGATGTCTTTCAATACTTTGAGGCCGTTGTTTTTATTGAACGAGACGAGAACTGAAGTCAAGTAGTTCGGACTGGGACGATCTGAGGAGACTTCATAAAGAAGGTGCGAGAAGTGTGAAAGGATGACAATGAGATATGCGAAACGATGCTTGGGGCTGTTGCTGGAATTGGCCGGGTCGAACTGCAGTTGGCGAAGAACACCTTCAGCAATGGCGTCTGAGACCAAAAATGCATTCGCCTTCTGTTTCTGCAGCGGATCTGTGCGTCTCTTGCCGATAATCCCGAGTCCGAGGTTGTGCAAGAATCCCGTAATCGAGGTTGGCAGAGCGCTTAGAAGGTAGCGAAGCGTACGCGCATTCTTGAAAGCAGGACACTGTTCATCAACTTCGGTGTCATCTTCTTTCGGACCCTGGCCCAACTGAGCTGGAGCAGTCTCTGATGCACTAGTGCCCTCACGTTGAGGTTCGGCGCCAGGCGTTGCTGAAGGCTCCTGGGGGTTCCCAGTAACCGGAGCAGCCTTTGACTTTCCAGAGCCATGCTTCTCAGCAGAGGCCTGTGTCGCTTTCAGCCACTTCTCGGGGATGTTCTTCTCCAGTAGAATACCTTCCCACACGCAAGAAGCAAGAAGGTTGCTCAATGAGGAGACTAGGGAACAGTAGTGGTCCGCAAGGTTGGCTTGGCCAAAGATAGAGGTAGACTGACCAGGCCGGGTTTGGTACAGTGGCGATGCGAAAACCTCGCGAAGGACATCGGTAAGGAGAAGAACAGCATTCAAATGTCTCACGAAGAATGTGCCAGATTTAGCAGCAGCCGTAGGCTCGAGAGCAGGTTTTTTTGAATCTGCTGGCTTGATCAATTCTGTGAAGAATCCCGATCCAGTGGGCGCAGTCCAAAAGGCTGAAAGATTGTCCACTGCTGCCTGTGCGCGTCGAACAAGAGATGGGACCACAAGGTGAGGCTTCGTTTCCGCTAGCATGTGGATAAGCACGGTAATCTCTTGGTTGGCGTTGGTGCTGTGGAAATCAAACGCCAAGCTTTGGAGTGTTGCAATGTCTAACAAGAACTCTGTGCCGCCGGCCAGGATGAAGGATGTGCAGTTCGTCTGGTTCTCGAAGAAAGCGCCCAGGAATCGCAAAGCTGGGAACAGGTAGTCCGTAGCCGAAAGACCATGATCATCCTTATCTCTAGGCTCAAAGTTGGGGCCCGGCGAAGGGAGGACGTGATCTAGATCCCCAACGACAAGCTTAGCGCCGTTAGGCAGAGTGTTGGCGTTGAGCTGGGGAGCACCAAACGAGGCAGGGTCGTCTATGGGTGCATCAACGGCTGTGCCGATCTCTCGGAACAATGAAAAGACATCTCCTGAAAGAGTTGTTTTGCCGTCGGCATCTTGGGTCCACATTTTTGTGCCCATACCTAGCTCCCATGCCTTGACTCGCCCCAGAACGTTGATACGAGCAGCCATTACAAGAACGGCAGACATGATAGAGGTTTTCAATGCTGGGTGGTGTCGGACAAGCTCATCAAAGGTCGTGCCTAACGAACGAACCAGTTCTGGGTCATCCTTAAGGCACTTGATATGCTCGGGGTTCTCGAAGATCTCGAAGAAACTTTCTAGTGCATCGGAGGACTGGAAGAGGTCCAAACCGGAGGAGTTCAAGCAGATAGCTCCAAATGCGCCAGGGATACAAGCAAGAGCATCAGCCGCGGGCATTATGCCAGGTGCGAGAGGGGTGTTCTGGGGTCTGACGATGGCATACTCGCGATCCTTTTGCTTTCCCTCGGACTGAATAGCGGCTTCGGCGCTGGGCGGTTGAGTGGCGGAGGGTTCGGCCTCGGTGTCGGCCTCAGTCTCCCGGTCTTCAGGCTCCACGGCCGGCGGCTTCTCTAGAACGTGAAGTTCACGACCCATGACCGCAGCAAGAAGGCTCTTGCTGAGGCCAGCCTCGGCGATGACAGCATAACTAGTAGGCTCGTTGTGAATGAAGCTGCTGAGAATGTTGACGGCGTTGCTCCAAACATGTGAACCGAACACACGAGCATTCTCGAACACAAGGCGAAGAGAAGTCAACAGCTGAGGCGAATCGATCAAGTTGCGCAGAACACGATCGAAGCCTCCGCCATTGTGCTGCATGATGTGGTTGACGAAACGGAACATCCAGCGCAGAGTCTGCTGCTGAAAGTAAGGAATTTGATAGTCAACCGAAGGGTTTTTGTATTTAGCAGGAAATCCATCCCCTCGATTGACCTTCTCAAACGCGGTCTTGGTCTCGTGATCAATCAAATCAGACATGGCGTCAAAACCCTTCGCTGTTGTCAATGTACCCAGTGCATCACGGACCGCGTGCACAAATGTGTCAAGGAACTCCATGATACGGGAATAGACTCGGCGGGATTTTTCAGTCCGCAGATTCAAGATGTCAACAAACATGGGAATCAGACCTGCTGCAACCAGGGTCTCCGGAGTACGTGTGCTCGAGCTTGGGAGAGTGCGTAGGAGTGCAAGCAACGCATCTCGCCACTCATCGTAGTAAGCATCATCCGGGTCGTTGTTTTCGGGGCCTAGTTCATTGACCATTTTACGGGTCAAGAACATGAGAATTCCGTGGTTGACATTGACGCTCAAAGCTGCACAGACGTCGATAGCACGAACCTTGTGCTTGGCCAAAGCATCCAACGCCTGGATCGCCAAAGTTTGGACAGACCGAGAGACCGCGAGGTCACCACTGGCACCGAGATGAACCACTTCAGCGAGCTGGTAAGTAAGCTGAAGACGCTTCGGTTGTTCCATATCAGATTGAAGGACCTTTGCTTGGAAGGTACTCTCCGGCTGAACATGGGCCAGATTTGTCACTGCCAGTGCCTTGATGGAAAGAATCTGTTCGCGCGTAGCACGCGACGTTGTCAACGCCTTGGCGACTCGGAGCTTGTGAAGCAGCTCATATTTTGATTCAAGGGGCAGATGAGGCAAGTTCGCCGCAAGAAGATCTTCCACCTTTGCAGTTGAAACTTTTGAATAGGGAAGCTCTAGGACTTTACCCGCTCGTGTAGCCTCTTCTGCCTTCCCACCGATAACAGCTGGTGATTCATCTCCATTCGAGGCCTGGTTGGAATGAGGAGTGGGGTGTGCGCTACGTCGCAATGGAGTTGGCGTAGCTGGAACGTGTGAGCCGTGCTCTGTTTGGCCAAATTCGGACGTAGTTCTGGCCTGTTCAGAGCCTGAGGGATAGTACAGGACTCGAACATCTCCCCATTCCTCCCAGCCATCGTCATCACGCACGAGGGAAACCAGTTCATTGGCGTTGACTTTCGTCTTGGCTGTGATTTCCTTTCCCTTGGTTAAAACGGGGGAAGACGTGCCAAACGGTGTTTTACTGGCGATGGCTGGACGCGGGAAAGGAGCCGCGATTTTCTGCAACTTTTCGAGATCAAGCGCATAGTGGGACTGCAATACGGACTGTTGATGGGTGCCACGCTGGCGAGAGTGGTATCGTTGAGCTAAGCAAAGAGACAGCCGCAATGTAGATTGTAGGAGAGAAAGTGAGGTGGTGTTCAACAGGTCACCTAGGCGATCGCTGCTGCTGTACAGGCTTCGGTTCCCACATTTCTCGAGCAAAAGGCGAGAAAAATCAAGAACTGCTTCCACAAGCTCTCTATCTCCTTCAGGGCCGTATCCCAGGGCATTTAGTTTAGCATCAACACCCTCTGCTGGCTTCTTGCTCTCATCGGCCGAATATGATTCCTCCAAAACACTTCGGGCAAACAGTTGGGTCTGAGGGCCAGTATTCAGGAGGTATTTGTCCACAGCTGAGGCCAGAATCTCGTCGAATCGGTCCAAGACATTGATCCAATGGTAGAGATCACCGCGCGGGAACGGCCATAGCTTAGGGAATGTGTTGAGAAGCGACGGGAGCTCTGGAACGGGAATACTTGTGGCATGCGCTATGAATTCTTGCAAAAATGGTGACTGTGATGGAAGGAAAAAAATTTTAGTTGGGTTGCACATCAGGCTGTCGGAGAGTAACTTACGATTGTAGCCTCATGCTTTTGGCTGGCGACCTTCTTAATTCTCCCCATGGTAACGACCGATTGACCAGTCAAACATGAGGGAGTTGAGAGATTCCAGGAGGGTTGTCTCCTAGAGAGGGTGGGGTGAAAAGGTCGTAAAGACCGGTGTCGCGGAGAGAGCGCGAAGATGCCTTATGACGTTTTTGATGCTTTTTTGTTGCCTCAACGAAAATCGAATCGACTCAACGTGATGGGGACCTGAGTAATGTTTCACTGTGAATAAAAGGCAATTCTAAGCGATGCTAGATCGAATTTACCATTCAATCGTGAAGGTACTTGGGTGAGAAAGCTCAAATCGATAGCTGAGAGATGAGATATCGCAAGTCGGTCAAATAAGGGAAAACGGGTGCAGGTCGTTATCCCTCAAGGTTTGACGTGGAGCTATTAAGATGGATATGTCAAAGGGAAAAGATGAAGGAGGGCGGATGGTTGATAGAAGAGAAGAGAAGGACGCAATGTGAAGAGAAGCTGGTCTTGCCGGCAAAAGGCAGAAGGGCGGAGCGGCTCTCTGCATTTCCCCCGCTAGGCCTCAGGCATCGACTGCCTGTCTTTACTTCCAGTTTGTCGGCACAAATATGATGCAACCCTGGAATTATTGGATTTAATATTACATACAGAGAGCTACAATGAAATATGCTTGACCACAATCTCTCAACTATTTTTGAAAAGATGTGGGAGTTCAGAGTAAAAGCCTGCTAGAAACTTATTGATATGCGGTGAACCACATCCCTAAGAAAACGCATGCATGCTATACAAAAAACCAGCCGCAAATATTATAGAGATCTCTCAAACAAAATTCACATCCTTTGAAGTTCTCAAATATGCACCTACTCCTTCCTGGCAGGCAGGTCTCCGTCCCATTGAATTTTCATTGTCATTGGGAACGGAGAGAAGCTACTGTGCTCGGCATCCATATACATGGCGATTCCTCCTAGTCCGTCAAGCCTCTTCAGATGGCCTTGGAGTCCAGGGGCGCGACGGACATTATCCAGTCGTCCAAGTACCTTGAGCATAGTGGAAAGTGCAAGAGGACACATTTTAACACCGAGGCATTCATGAGGACCGAAGCCAAAGTGGGCGTACAGGCTCATATCACGGTCCAGACGGACCTTGTCGGGATCGGGGAACGCAACAGGATCACGGCCTGCAACAACCTATATTTCGTACAGTCTGTTAGCATCTGAATACCAATAGAGAGATAAAAAAAGGACACAAGAACTTACCAAGTTACAAATGATCTCCTGGCCAGCTTTCAAAGTGACCTTCTCGCCGTTATCTTCGACCACCGTTGGCTTAGTGACAAATCGTGGCAATGCTACCGAGCATCGGAGTCTCGCTCCTTCCATGAAGCTGTAGACAGTTAGTATGGCCTCTTAAATTGTAATGGGATATGAAGAAACTTACTATCGCACAAGAAGCTCGTCAGCCTCAGGAGTGTCCTCTCTAGACAAGCGCTGGATTTCAACCAGATGCTCAGCCGCTTCTTCGGAGAGGTAATAGTCAATGCATTGGGAGAAAAGCTGGCCTTGATTGGCAACCAATGCACCGGCCGTGGGAAGAATGTGCGACCACACAACATCCTTAACGGGCAATTTGCTGTCGAGTAAGCGTTGGATCATGTGGACGCCATAATCGCTCAAAATATCATGGCGGTGTAGACGGCTGACCAGACTGGAAATGAATCCAGTCTTAGCAACGAGTTCAACGTTGGCTAGCGTCAGTTCGCCCAGCTGCTGTGCAACATTACGAGCAGTCTGGCAAAGTTGGAAAGACTTGGACACGTCAACATCGTAGAAAATAGAAGCGAAGATAACGGCCAGGATCTGATACAACTCCTGTTCACTGAACACGCCTCTTGGGTTTGACTCTGTCTTGAGAGACAGGGAGAAGACATTGGCACAGAAGTGAACTTGGGCGAGAACGGCAACATCGCGAACGATGTCGACCTGATTGACGCCAGCAACCTTGAATGAGTTTCGCTCGAGGAGTTTCAGAGTAATGTCCTCGTAGAAGGCCTTTACTTCTGATTCCCACTTTTCACGATGCAGAGCAGCACCAAGCATCTTTCGAGAAGCTTCATTGGCAGGGAGATCACCCGCTAAGGCAAAGTCTCGGCCATAAGGACGGCCGCTATTCTCCATCAAGAATTGGATCTTATCACCCCACACTACCTTGAATCCTTCTTGGTCTTTCAAGATTCTTGTGCAAGCAGAGTGGGAATTGATGAAACGGGGCGGAGCCGTGTAAAATGGTCGGTCAAAGTTATAGATTTTAACCTTACCAAGGCTAGTCAGAATCTTCTTGTTCTCATCAGGCACAACCATCGGGAAGTGTGCGTAAACCGAGTCACCACGGAAATGATTGGGAAAGGCCTTCAGGATCAGTTTGTAGAAGACCTGGCCGCCATCAACAGAGACGTCATTGTTGATCTCATTGAATGCCCAGTTTGTGAGATGTTTCGGTGTGAAATCGACAGTATAGAAGCGATCGCCACGAACCAAAGCAACCGCATCTGATAGAATGGCCCTGGAGGTCGTGAAGTTAGTGCATAGACCGCTACCCGGGGTCATGGCCTGTTTAGCCTCTTCGACAATGAGACCAGGGTACAGCTCGACAAGGTCGGGGTGGTCATAGAAATGCTTAAGCTGGTTCGCGACGAATGGGTCTGAGTTGATCTCTTCAAAGGTTTGATAAGAAGCCAAACCAAAGTACTGACGGAATTCGTTCAAGGTAGCCAGATTCCAAGAACGTGCCTGCTTGATGCCGAGAACCTCAATGTTCCTGAAAACATCCGGCACATTCAAAGCACCAAAAGCCCCGGCAGGGTCCTCAATACTCTCCTGGAGAATCTTGACCAAATCATTATCATCAAAAGTTCCATCTTGTTGGCGTTGCAATTTGCCGAAAGGACGTTCTTGGGGATCTGCCGGGAGTTTTGATTCCCATTGGCGAAGACCCCCTGTGAATTGCTGCATGCTAATCTCCTTCGGATCCTGCCCATCAAATAATTCTTTATACAGATCCTCTGACCATTTTTCGTCCCGGGCTGAGACACAAGAATGCCAGCGATAAACAAGATTGAACTCGGCAGATACCTGGTTTCCGGTAGCCTGAGCAGGTGCCTCGCCAAGCAAGCCATCCCGTATCTCTGCACGGGGATCCAAACTCCACACACTGTCAGTTCGGTTTACGTTGAGAATGGTTCGGACATAGTCTTTCAGAATGATGTTAACATAAAGACCACAAGTAACCAGTCTGGCAGTTTGGAACAGGTCGTTATCCCAGGTGGCATAAGCTTGGGAATTTGACTCATCCGGTTTCGTGAAACGGCCACCTTCATTTATAGCTGCCAACTGCGTGACAACGGAGTTGTGGAAACGGTTGAACATGATGAGAAGCACGCCCACGCCGGGAGGGAATCCCAAAACCCGCTTAGTGGAAAAGCAGTCGGGTTTCAACTTTCCATCCTTGAATGTTCTAACTGTATCCTGTTCTTTCTGGTTGTTGCCATAAAGCGGAGACAAGTCCAAGTACGAGGATGTCAATGACTTTGTTTGGTCCCGAGGATCCGTCTGGAACAAGTCTGAAAACTGTTAGCCTCGGTGATTCGTATAGCAAAGATCTCAACCAACAGAAATAACATACCGTGGATGATAATAGAGGCAAGATAGAACAACACGCTAGAAATCTTGTTCGGGTGTTCCTTGAAATCCTTCCGGGACAAGAGACTATCGAAAAGAGCCTCTGGCTCCGGAAGAGCAGCAGGCTGCATGGTCTTGGGTCGAACGGACCGTGCATATGGGGTGCTAGCAGCACCAATCTGAGGCCAAAATGTGTTCTAGGGCTGTTTAGCAGACATACTCGATCTATAAGGGAACAATTCCTACATTTCCAGATCCATCAGCTTTCCGGTATGCCGCCTCGCGTCCAAGATAGCTGCATCACTAGTTAGTCGCTGGACATTTCCCACACAGACCAACATCGCCATTGCATGACTCACGAGACAGGCGGGTGCTGTAGATCACCCCACAATTGGGTGAGGAAGGTATTGGTCAGTTCCTTGCCATTCCGAGATGTCGAAGGCAAGCCAGCAGCAAGCTGTAGAAGAGTTAGAGTGGGAACATAGCCAATTCCTCGCGAAAATACAAACCTGAATCACGCGCTCCATGATATAATCTCTGTCATTCACAGCCTCGCCAGTCACGGCAGTTTTGGCAACCTCCGCTAAAGTTTTGGCATCTTTCAGGTCAAAGTGGAGTAGGTCCTTAGCAAGGCCTGTCACGGTTGGCTCTTGTACATAGCTGCCATCGCCAGTTTGAGTGGGCAAGGGCCGCAAGGCTGCAGACACAACTTGCTCAACCTGAGCAATCTTGCTGCTGGATTCTTCCTCAGACATGGTGAATTGAGATGGTATAATACAGATACAGAAGAAATCCGAGTGCGAACTGTGATTAATCTGTCAACTTCGAGGTCATAGGTTGACCTTGAGCCGAGGCCGTATAGTTGAAAGTCGAACAATAAGGACAATAATGTAGTAGTCGCTTACCGGTATATGTATATAGGGAAGCAAAAGAGCAACACAACTATCACAGGTAATTAGGAAAAGACAAAGTGAATCATGCAATCATTTCGGTGGAAATGGGAGTGTATTATTATAAGCCTCCCGTGGTAATCACGGAGTAAGCCGAGAGAGCCATCCGTACGGCTGAATGTACATCACATTCTCAAAGTTCAGCAGCGCCCTCATTCGTGATCGTTCTTAGCGTAAGGTGGACCTTGTGTGTGAAGAGGAACGCCCCACTGGTTGTTATGAGCAATCGAATATCTCTGATTCGCCATGCTATACGGGGTATGCCCTGTCAACCAGGTCTTGGTGTATTTGCCTAGCCAATTATGGCGGATGACCCGGATTACGACCGCCTAGATAAAGATAGACACGAGCTATATTAGCACATTCAATGGTTCAATTCGTAGTGTGGATCGAACTACACACTGTGATTGGGGCAGTAACAGCGGCTAAATGGGTCCGAAGATCTGCGATGCGCTCAGGCTATGCAAAAATTATGTTTTCATAGAGGGAAAATGACAATCTAATAAGAATGGCATGTAAAAAACTCTAATAATGAACTTCTAGGGTCTGTCTTGGTTCTTGGTTGGGCAATGATTGGCGATGCTGACGATGCTGTTCGGTCAAAGTAACCGTGCAAGATGGAGCTGAAACCTATGGGGTAGATGGGGCGATATCATTCGATTCTGATTTGACGTTGCTATTTGATATTACAATAGCTTGTTTTTTTCTCAGCTCCCACAAAATCCAGCACTGCCTTGGAACCACCATGCCCCGCTACAGTGCATATTCGGCCTCGTTAGCTTCCGGGGATACCCTTGTTTCAGCTGACAGGCCAGATGACTTCAGATACGGAGGAAATATATAGCCTTTGCTGCCCCAGTAAATGATGACATTCAAGCTGGCCTTGAGGGAATACTGCATTGGACAGTGTGCCATTGGCGGATAGGCCAGTCGAATCTCCAAGGCGAAATGAGACAAAAAAACATCTGGAGCAACTGGCATAGCCACGAGCTAGTTCGCCAAGATGCAAAGATCGTAGTATTCCATACGAACCCCTGTTTTCAGTAAGCTGCCAAGGCAACCTACCGTGGGAGGCCATTCTGGGAAAGACACCCAACTATTGCAAAATATTGCGACGTTGGATATGTGGCCTCAGGCGTCAACACGTGACGTCAACCGAGGCCCAACTTGTAGATTGTTGGGACAAGCACGTTTTTTAGCCAAGTCGCGATTTCAAGTTATCTTGGTGGCCTCAAATAAGCCCCGTCTTCAAGCATTATATCTGCTTGAGCTAAGTTATCATCATGGCGGCTGATAAAATCACACTCGTCGTTCAGCCAAGGGGTATGCATACATAGCTCTTTTACTCGAAGCTCTCGGTCACAGAGAGAGTAGCTTAAAAGCATCGCTAATCTAAAATCAGGCAAGCCCATCCGCAAGCTCCCCAAGGAAATCGATATCTCTCTCGATGCCTCTAGTGAAGAATTGCACGTTGCGCTCTCCGCAGCATCCGGTTGCTCAATTCACCGGATGAGAATCACCAAGGGTAGCGACCACAGCGTGGTCCCGAACTCGAACAACATCACCATTGAGGATACCGGCCTGCTAAACTCAAGCGTGATCTACGTCAAGGATCTCGGTGCGTGTCTATACCCCATATCATGGACAATGCGAATTCAGCCCTAGAACCAGCGCACTCTTCCCCACGCACATAGAAGCTAACATATAGTTCTTAAATCAAACAGGACCCCAAATTGCCTGGCGCACCGTTTTCATCATCGAGTACCTCGGCCCACTCCTGATCCCCGCGCTCTTCCTCTTCCCACTCCGACCCCTCCTGTACTTCACCTTCGACAAGCCCCTCCCCTCGCCCTCAAACCTCCAGCTCCTAGTCTGCGCACTGCTGAGCGTGCACTTCCTGAAGCGCGAGTTCGAGACAATCTTCGTGCACCGTTTCAGCAGTGCCACCATGCCCGCCCGCAACATCGTCAAGAACAGCGCCCACTACTGGGTTCTGGCCGGTTTCAACATCGCCTACTGGGTGTTCCGTCCGGACGCGACCGCCGCCAGCAGTACCCCCAACCAGGCTCTTGTGTACGCCGGACTGGCGCTGTTTGTCTTCGGTGAGCTGGCGAATCTGAATGCGCACTACATCCTGCGTAATCTCCGCCGGCCGGGTACCACTGAGCGAGGCATTCCGTCTGGGTTCGGCTTCAGTGTCGTTACCTGCCCCAACTACTTCTTTGAGATCTTGGCTTGGTTGGGTATTTTCCTTGTCAGCCAGTTGAACTGGAGTGTGCTGATCTTCGTTGCTGTGGGTGGGTTGCAGATGTGGAGCTGGGCTTGGAAGAAGGAGTATCGCTACCGCAAGGAGTTTGGTGACAAGTATAAGAAGAAGCGCGCTGTCATCTTCCCCGGCCTTGCTTAAGAAGTTGGCCGAATGGTCAAGTCCAGGCTGGTATTTGGTGATCCCATATGCTATGGCCATGGGCTGAGTGATTGATTGAGTGGAAAAGGGGAAGAAAATTATAGCAAGGCATTAGATTGTCTTTGTTGATGGCTTGAAAGAAGTCTCGCAGCTTATCGATCAACCCTAGTTGTCATGATAAACGGTATGCACTAATTACTGATATCATGAGATGATGTATTATTTGGTATTGGACATAGAAAACAATTATCGTATCCCTTTTGCAGCTATGCATGCCAATGAAAGCAAAAATACGCCATATGTTGAGGTCTCCACGACCAAACGCTGATCAACCCTAGAACATTATAACTAGGTAAACCACCCTGAACAGAAGAAAGATCCCAAGCAAAACGCCATTTCCCCACGTAGAAACAGTGGACCCCTAAATGCAAGTCACTTCAAGAACGTTAATCTCTCTGTTTCTTCTTCTCCCAAAGCTTGTAGTACGGCTCTAGTTCGCGGGCACAGTCTCGGCCCTCTGCATCACCGCACCCATGGAATTGGATCACGAGGTCACCATCCTTGTAGGTGCCGTCCAAAGCAACACCCGGCGAGTCTTTGCTATAGGAGCCTAGAATGCGCTGAGGGACCAAGGCGGTTCGAGCAAGAACAGTTGGGTGCCACTGCAAAATGTGATCCTAGCAGAGTGTCGGTCAGAATCAAGGCTCTCGAAGCGCTATCTATATAAAGATAGAGTAATAGAGTAAAGGATTTCTCTTACCAGTCCATGGGCTTCCGCCCTAGCAAAGTTGAAGTTGCGGTAAAGCGGGTCAAACCAGAGGTCCAGGAAGAAACGCGCAAACTCCCCGTTCTTCAAAATGAAGCTTCCGGGGTTCAAATCTTCGCTGTCCTGGGTGATGATAAGGTCCACATCCTGTTCCTTCTGGTGCACGAAGGTCTTTATGATACTGTCTGGCGGCACAATGGGTACATCCTTCAACATCAAGCTTTCCAGACGGCCCTGCCCTAGAATATGAGACTCGAGGGATTTGGTAGGGTTCATGATCAAAGCATTAGCCGCGAGATGGAAGAAATATGCCGAGTGAGGATGTGTAGCCATGGCATGACGGATGGCTGGTACAACTGCCCAGCTCATTGGAGCATCGCCAACGGCTTCGTCGTAATCTGACACTTTCGCGAAGAAGTTGGTGTAGCCTGTTCCCGCAGGAAAGTTAGATCAAGTTCATTGCGAAGCTCCTCCACACTGCTTTGTATAGGGGTTTATTACCATGACGCTTGGCGTAGTCCTCCCGGTTTGCAATGATCTTTTTGAGATAGCTCTCGCTGCACCGTTGACGGTCTAGCAGTGTGACGATTACCACTCCAGAAGTACCCGCCGGAGCCACAACGGACGTGGAGGTTGGGGAGTAGAGGTAATGGATGAGATAGAGAAGGGATAATATTGCGAATGCAAGGACGGCGACCGACTTGAACTGTTTCCTGCGATGGGATGACATTCGAGAGGAACGGGGGAGAGGTAGAGGATGCGGGCTCCGCCGTGGAGGTAACGCGAACTGCATTGAGGGCGTGTGCTTATCCCTGAGTTTATACAAGGGACAGTGTTTGTGTTGAAATCAAGTCATAATAAGAAAGATGGCAAGGTCAAAGATCGAATATTGAAGAAGGGAACTTGATGATCGACGCGGGTACGAAGATCCCGAGGGATTGGCGTCTGAATCCGGCCCACCTCTGCTGGCCGCATTCCAACTTCCATTAGCGAACCGCATCCAGCGGAAATTCCTATTTAGGATAGAAAATAATCAGAGATAACATATAGATTATTTGTTGATTGGTTTGATGTATAGTCCTTTTGCATTGGACAAGACCTGCGAAAAAAATATTGTTGATATATTTTATAGATCGGCCCTAGTATGTACATACACATCTGAATACACACCTTGTGCCACACTATTTCGCCACTTTTTCTGTCCAAGTATTGGCATAGTTAGGCGTTCCAAGAATTCTCATCTTATGAGAGTTGCCCAACTGTATTTCTTTTGTACTTGATCCCTAGAACGGAGGAGGGTTCAGGTCCAACCCGTCAACCGTTAACCGGAATGCATCTCTTGAATAGCTTCCCGCAACATCCATGTCAAGTCGGCCTCGCTCACAATCCTCCAAGTCTATATCAGAAATCACAAGCGCATTTTCGATGCTAGAGATATCAGCTGCATCGTCAGTGGAGACTTGCCAGATAGGTTCAGCCACGACTTCGCCGAAGGGTCCGACGATGCAGGAGCCACCACGCGAGATATAGCGGTCTGGATCTTCTAAGAGAGAATGAGTCAATTGAACAACTAAGTAAGCAAACTGAGGGTGATCATATACCACGTACCTTCTGTATTTTTACTCTGCTCAGTGATCCAGGACGGTAGTTCACTGTAGCGCACGCACTGGTTGGAAGAAAGCACGAAAGTGCGACCTTCGCCACCAATAGTGCGAATGAGAGGTAGCCAGGTATCACGGCTGTCAGCTGTGGGTGCGAGGTAGATGTTCACATTTTGCGAATAAAGACTTTGACGAAGCAAAGGCATGAAGTTTTCCCAGCAGATGGCGGCGGCAATAGTAAGCTTGACTCCATTCAGCTCTGTGGTGATAGCTTTCAATGTAGAAGGAGACCCCTGCGCCCACACGAGACGTTCCGAGCCAGTCTTTTTTTCCGGCAATTTCAAGTCAGCACTAGTCTATATCTTCCAAATTGACTATGAATGACAGCAAAGATCGATTTCCATGTACTTACTGGCATGACCTTTCGTCTTTTCCCCAGAACACCCCGCAAAGGATCGACATACAGCGCAGAACAGTACAAGCTCCCCCCGGCCTTTTCAATCAACCCAGTTGCAATAAAGACGCCGGTCTCGCGGGATAGCCGCTCGAGGAACTCTCTTGTTCCATCACCACGGTGGTCTCGACCTTGGGCCACGGGTAGCTTGCGCTCCACCCAGTCATCTCCCGCTCCAGCAGGCGTATCGCCTAGGTCAACGGCAGCACGGAAGTACTCAAGAAATTGATCCCGCCCATAGGGAGCACGCGCGCCAACAGCAGTTCCAAAGTCACAAGTGCGAGGATATCCGCCTAGGTAGGCTTCTGGGAAGAGTATAAGATGGACGCCCTTTGAAGCTGCATGCTGGGTGGTTTCCTTGAGAGAAGCGAGGGTCAACTCGAGAGTAGACAGAGTGCGGGCTTGTGCCACAGCCACGGTAATTTTCTGAGGCATTATAGTGTTGTCTTCCTTGCCGAGGCAAAATATTCCAAAAGCGAAGGTCAAAAGGACTCAAAATAAATAATTATTACCCCTCTCAGCATCTCTGATTTCCTCTTCTGCGTTTGTATTTCTCTTACCGCTTGCGGGTAGTTCTGCCAGCCCTACTTTCTATACCGCTTTTGACTCTAGTAGACGATAAGATGATGCAACAACTTAGTTATCTCAATAATGTCTGGCTTGAATGATTAGAATAGTTCCTAATATGTGTTGTATTTGGTTCTCCTGTAGGCGGAAAGACCCGTCACCGTTTCCCAGATAGATTACTCATAGATTACACCTCCAAGGCTACAGTTACTCCCTGCATCCATCCAGGACCATACCTCTCGAGTCTCTCCTCTTTTCTCTCCTCAACCATTTTACCCCTAGCCTATGCCCCTATCAAGAAAATCTACAGATCCAACATGGATACCGCTGAAACTGATTTGATGGGTGACCTTGTAGGCACCGAGATCACCACTGACGCTAAGACAGAAACAAACCTTCTGCTGCCGTCTGCGACATGGGTAATCACCGCGAAGCTGAATGAAATTTCTCATCCCGGAGACCAGCATGACATCGATAAAGGCTTTGGGTATCCATATGTTGCCGCTAAATTTCTTTGCTACCGTAAAGATGACCCAGCTCAGAGGCCAGCATTTGTGCGAATCTACCAGCAGATCCCTATCACCGGGACCCAGATCTCGAAGTCAAGCATTCGAGTAAAGCAGGCTATAACATAAACTACGAATAAGTTAGATGTACTGAAGGAACTCATGCAGAAGGGCTATAAGGTTATTCCTAAGCTTCTTAGCTACCAAGAAGCATAGTAAGAATCCGATGATATTGTTCCCTCAGGCTTTATTATATACGTTATCTGGGATAAAGTTCCCGGGGAGCCTCTCTCTCAGCAGTACTTCTGGAGCCAGACACGTGAAGTTCGCGATGCTATTTGTAAAGAATTCCGTCGAGTTTACGAGTAAGTTCATCCTCTCTCTCTATCCATCGGGGTATAGAGTTAACGATCCATAAGACAGCTTATGTTATGCAGTATCGAGCCAATTCCCCCTAAATCAACAAAGCTTATCTACGATAAGTTGACCGGAACTATGTACGTATATTCCTTATCCCTGTAACATCTAATGGGCCAAAGGTGAATGTACTGTGCTTATTCTTTTTATTTCTAGGCATATCTCAGGGTTCTAATTTGGTGACGATGTTGACACAGAGAAATGGGATGATATTAACTACGTCATGTATGAGCTGGCCAACCCATCTAGCAAGACAGATTGGTACCTCGATAGACATGACACGGAGTAACCTTGACCACCGCTTCATCGTCAACTGCTTCATCCATTAAAGGGTTGAATCCTATAGGAATCTGGTTGAATATATGATTTTTTCTGATCAAAATGCATGTCTTATTACTTTGTAAACCAGAAGTGGCTGTTACCGTCTGCATGATTACTCTACGCTGTTTGCATCATTTACTTCAATAGATTGTTTGCTAGATGTCTAAGCGAGAAGGTTCGAGCTTTGCGCTGCTTCCCTTGCACTTGCTTCTTCTTTCCTTCTTCATCTTATTCATTTAGTTGAATGCACTCTTTCTCTTCTTCAGATCGACCTGTCGCCTCACAGTGGGCAGAATATATGGCAGAGTTCAAAGTGGCACCCGATCAGGAAGGAGACAGGAGGTCCCTAAATAGATTACTCATAATTATGTATGTCTCTCTCCACGACCAGTAACTATGGCTTGAAGTGGTCAGCACTTTTGGCTCACCGCTCTAATCACCGCCTGTATAATTAGCTATGGTCTTAGGCCGGTATGTAATATTACTCCTAGGTACCCAATCTGGAGGGCAGTACTGAAATTTTAGGCAGGGGGTCAGAATAGACTGGGGGAGGGTCAATATAGTAATCCCCTATCAGAAATGGGCATTTTAATTATATCTATAAAATTTGAACTCAATGCGACCCTGAGTAATTAGAGAAAATGTAAATTACTGTATACTCATTACAGCTGCGGAACAACGTAACTAGTTAGAATGGCTAGCTGACTAATTTTCTGCTCGGCAGAATTAGTTTTCCATCGCCCATAGACCAGTGTGAACTTCTTCTCTCCTCAACCATTTTAACCCTGCCTTTCGTAAGTGCATCTAATTTACAAAATTCTGTAGATTCAGTATGGATCCCGCTGAAACCAACTCAATTTGCGACCTCGAAGGCACTGAGATCACCACTGAAGCCAAGATAGACCCTCCATTGCCGTCTGTGACATGGGTCATTACCGAAAAGCTAAAGGAAACTTCCTTTTTTAGATATCAGGAAGACGCCAACGAGGACCTTGGTTATCCATATGCTACTGCCAAATTCCTCTGCTACCCTAAGGATGACCCGGCTAAGACACCAGCTTTCTTACGAATCTATCAACAGATCCCTATCACCGGAACTGAGAACTCGAGATCAAGAATTCGAATACAGCAGGCTATAACACAAAGTACGAATGAGTTAGATATACTGAAGGAACTTATGCAGATGGACTGCACAGTTGTTCCTAAGCTTCTTGGCTACCAAGAAGCACAGCAAGAATCGGACGACATTATTCCCTCAGGCTTTATTACCTATGTTATCTGGGAGAAAGTTCCAGGGGTACCGCTATCTAAGCTATATATCTGGAGGCAGACGCCTGAAGTCCGCGACGCTATGCGTAAAGAATTCCGTCGAGTCTACCAGTAAGTTCATCCTCTATCTTCATTGAACTTATAAAGCTAACATATCCATAAGAGAGCTTGTATCATGCGGTATTCAGCCAATTCCCCCTCACGAAAGCAAGCTTATCTATGATAAGTCGACCGGAAAGATGTACGTGATATTCCTTATCCGCGTGGTATCTAATAGGCTAAAAGTGAATTTACTTATTCTATATCTCTAGGCATATCTCGGGCTTCCGAATGGGTCTCTCTATCGATAGCAACGAGAACTGGTCTGATTTTAACTACGTCTTATACGGACTAGTCCGACCTTGTAACAAGGATTGGTACAAGGATAGCGATTGGGAATGGTGAAATTGTATACTTGGCTTGGGGATCTAATCATTGCTGACAATCAATCAAATCCTTTCTGGTAGCCAACCCTAGATCCCTGTAGTTTTCTGATATACATAGTGTAACGGGAAATAACCTTGGCCAATATATCGGGTCTCAGTTTATGGCATCAGATATGCCCAGGTTACAGTTATGTTTTAGGAGAGGGTTTTGGTTTAGTTGACCGTCCCTGGTCAACTCTTGGGGTGATATGTAGGAGGGAATTCCAGAGCAGGACGACTAAGCGCCTCAGGCAGAGATAGTAACGCAGATACCCTCCATCTTCTCTTCTAGTAGTCACTCCACTCCATGGTGTTCTCCTTTCTAGCACCCTACTACTCCCAGTAACGACTTTGTGCTCACACCGATTTCGCAGGCAGGCCTGTCGGTGCCCCTGCTGTCCCCGTTATAGGGTCCCCCCTCTTCAGTATGGTGTTTTATAAACGTAGTTTTTACTTTTCTATATGAGATATTTGAAATTTATTTTATTTGTGACGATCCACTACAGATCGCCATCATATGCTTCACGTTTGCTTGCTCGCTTACTGTTCACATTGTTTACTGCATTAGATTGTTTGCTAGATCGCTAAGCGAGAAGGTTCGAAGTTTGTAACGTTTACAAAGTGGTCAGCTATATCAACTGGCTGCTTGCACTTTATAACTTGCTTCTTCTTTCTTCGTTCTCCATCTTTGGTATTTAGTTGAATGTACTCTCTCTTCTTCAAGATCAACCTGACGCCTTATATTATTAGCCAATTAATTGGGCTAGACCTTTATTATTTATTTCCGCTCTTATTCTTCCTTTAACTCACCAGAGGGTTAAGAAAATAAGGTATTAGGTATGTGTACCTTTTACATGAGTGGGCTATACAAAATATACCTAATTCTGACAATTTCTGTTTAGTGGGATAGACCCATGGGCCATACGTCTACTTAACTGGTTATGTCTCTCTCCACGACCAGTTTCAACTTCCTCAACCATTTTAACCCTGCCTTTGGTAAGTCCAGCCTATGTCCCTATCAAGTATTTCCTCTAATTTATAAAAATCTATAGATTCAATATGGAGGCCGCTGAAACCGACACAATATACGACGTTGAAGGCACTGAGATCACCACGGACGTCAAGACACACCCTCCATTGCCGTCTGTGACATGGGTAATTACCGAGAAGCTTAAGGAAACTTCTTTTTTTAGAACCCAGAAACAAATGGATAAAGGCTTTAGTCCTCTATATACTGCCGCTAAATTCCTCTGCTACCCTAAGGATGACCCAGCTAAAACGCCGGCTTTTTTACGAGTCTATCAGCAGATCCCTATCACTGGAACCCAGCACTCGAAGTCAAAAACTCGAGCGAACCAGGCCATTCCGAAAAAAGTGGTAAATGAGTTAGTATTATTGAAGGAACTTGAAGAGAACTGCTGTGAGGTTGTTCCTAAGCTTGTTGGCTACCAAGAAACACAGAAACACAGCAAGAATCTGACGATATCATTCCCTCGGGCTTTATTACCTACGTTATCTGGGAGAAGGTTCCTGGGGAGCCTCTATCTGAGGAATATTTCTAGAGCCAGAGGCTTGAAGTCCGCGATGCTATCCGCAAAGAATTCCGTCGAGTTTATAAGTAAGTTCATACTCTATCTTCACCGAACTTATAGAGTTAACATATCCGTAAGACAGCTTATGTCGTACGGTATCCAGCCAGTCCCTACTGCCGCAAGGAAGCTTATCTATGATGAGTCGACCGAAAATATGTACGTGTGGTATCCAATATGCCAAATATGAATGTGCTTATTCTTTATTTCTAGGCATATCTCAGGTTTCAGAATGGGTGGCCCTATGGATAACAACGATAAATGGTCTGATGTTAACTACTTCTTGTACGGACTGGCCAATCCATCTAGCAAGATGGATTGGAACCTCGATAGCAGTGAGTGGGAGTTCTGAATATGGTGAAATTGTATGGCTTAGGAATCATTGCTGGTAATCAATCAAATCCTTCCTGGTACGGCAGATGTAATCGTCGTCTCGACTGTCATATGACCTTGGGGTACCTTCTATACGGAACTAGCTAGATGAATACACATATCGATCTTCCCCAAGCTTTTCTGTCTTCGTGTTCTAGCCAAAGCAGTTCCACTCTACGGAACGGCAGAGGAAGACCGGTCACCGAGGCGCATCTCGGCGGAGTCTGCTTCCTATATCCAATCCCATATGCCTTTTCTGACGTTGGTCATCATGCATCGCATGATCAAACCGTGCTCGGGGTTTGAGTAGTCACATGTGCTCCGAAGACTGTCCGTTCTATGTGAATCAACTCATGCTGGATCGATGGCTGGCATGGATGTCTATGCTTTTTTCCCCTTGAGAACGGGATTGGCAGTGCTTTGGGGGTTGACGACGAGACGCTCATGTATCCACTCCTCCTTGGATCGGCGGAATTTTGATTTTGACCGGAGTGCTATATTCTGTTTATACCTACTTTTATAGCCGTGGCGTAAAAATGGAGTTGGATGAAACGTCTTGATAAGTGAACACGAAGTAAGATTGGAGTATAATACACAGAAGACCCAATATGCAAATTGAAAAAGAGACCGCACCCAAATTAGAAATTTGTGGCCATCATTTCTACCACAAGAAACGAGATAGCGTACAAAGATGGCACAAAATCCGCGGTGCCCAAAAAACCGTCCATCGCTCTTCAGGATAGTGGTACAAGCGCCTGTTCATTCCCCTCGGCACGCAAGGTCGCTCAAGCTGCTCTAGCGAGCATACGACTGGCTGCTTCGCGGAGAGACGCGAGGCTTGGTCATGGCGTCAATGTCCAGGTTTTCGATCTTGTTCCTGATCTGAAGCCTGTGGTCCCTCATCCATTTGCTCAACGTCGGGGGCTCAGGAATACCGTAGGCCTTGCGCTGCTTATCAAATCTCTCCTTGACCGCCGGTGTCTGCATAATCTGGTGTCGAAGGTTCCATCCGAAAGGACCGAGCTCCTTGAGGCGTGTTGGCCGATCAGACAACAAATAGTTATCTAGGCCCTTGGCCTTGTAGATTGATCGCAAGGCGCGACGAGTGACCTTGATAAACACAGACTCGCCCAGAGCCTCGCTCTCGATCTTCTTTCGGCGGACGTTAGGCTTCCAGGTTCGTCGTGTCTTGCCTGCATTGCGTCCCTTAGAGATCTTGTTGCCGAATCGGATCGAAGCACCTCCATAGAGACCGGAGTCAGCCTGTTTGTACCACTTGGATTCCCCGTAGGGGTAGACTGGGGCGGTTTCCGGTAGTTTCGGAACTGATTGCGTTGCCGGCGTCGTTGAGAAGGATCGCTTCGGTGTGGCGATGGAAAGACTGCGGAAGGCCGAAGCCAAAGAGAAGGGGGCGGCCATTGCGGATCTTGCATGTAGGCCGGCCATTGTGTTCAACAGCTATTGGACCCTCGCAGAGTGTCGAGAACGCAAAAGCCGGAAAGTCTTTAATAGACAACAGGCGGAGGAAGAGGTCCAGTAGGGAAGAATTTGGGGCAGTTCACCGCCCTGAGGGCGGCGTTCTCATTCGCCGATCCCTTGCTCGCGAATTTCGGCCAGAAGCATTATCTCACAGAGAACCATCGCGTTACCTTTCTTTTCGATCTAGGCTATTTCTTTGAAGCTTTGATTTATTACGACTTCCTTCTTTTCAACCGATTGACCCATCTCTCGTCAATACCCGTGGCTCTACTCGGCCACATCTCTCCTAAACATGGTCCAGATTAGTGAAGTGAAGGGGAACTCGCGCGAGAACAGGACCGCAGCGCATACACACATTCGGGGTCTAGGCTTACGCTCTGATGGGACCCCGGAGCACAATGCGGATGGATTCGTGGGACAAGGAGCTGCCCGTGAGGTGAGTGGATAGCAACGCTGAATCCAGGGTATCTGCTTCGCAGTAACAATAACTAACGGTTTAAACCATCGGCAGGCATGCGGTGTTGTGGTGGACTTGATCAAGTCAAAGAAGATGGCTGGACGAGCTGTGCTGCTTGCTGGTGGCCCTGGCACCGGAAAGACTGCTCTGGCTCTCGCTGTATCGCAGGAGCTGGGAACCAAGGTTCCTTTCTGCCCCATTGTTGGCAGCGAAATCTATTCCGCGGAGGTCAAGAAGACCGAAGCACTGATGGAGAACTTCCGGAGAGCTATCGGTACGCAATGCGACATCAGGGAAAACGCAACAAGCGTAGAAAATTCAAGCTAACGCATGACAGGCCTCCGTGTTCGCGAAACAAAGGAAGTTTATGAGGGAGAGGTGACAGAGCTTACCCCCGAGGAGGCTGAGAACCCACTGGGCGGATACGGGCGCACAATTAGCCACCTGATCATCGGATTGAAGTCCGCTAAGGGCTCCAAGAAGCTGCGCCTGGACCCCAGCATCTACGAAGCCATCCAGAAGGAACGTGTCACGGTCGGAGACGTCATCTACATTGAAGCCAACACGGGCTCATGCAAGCGAGTCGGGCGATCCGATGCTTATGCGACCGAATTCGATCTCGAGGCTGAGGAGTATGTGCCTGTCCCCAAGGGCGAGGTTCACAAGAAGAAGGAGATTGTTCAGGATGTGACTCTTCACGACCTGGATATGGCCAACGCCCGACCCCAGGGCGGACAAGACGTGATGAGTATGATGGGCCAGCTGATGAAGCCCAAGAAGACGGAAATCACGGACAAGTTGCGCCAGGAAATCAACAAGGTTGTCAACCGGTACATTGATCAGGGTGTCGCAGAATTGGTTCCCGGTGTTCTTTTCATCGATGAGGTACGTGGAGAAAGTTTATGCTGTCAATTATTGGATCATGTCTCTAACTACGTTTCTTCTCTAGGTGCACATGCTCGACATTGAGTGCTTCACATATCTGAACCGCGCCCTCGAATCGACCATCTCCCCGATTGTCATCCTCGCCTCCAACCGTGGCCACGCCGTCATTCGCGGTACTGAAATCAGTGCCGCACACGGTATCCCACCTGATCTGCTTGCCCGCCTTCTTATCATCCCCACCAACCCCTACGCCCCCGAGGAGATCAAGACTATCATCCGGCTGCGCGCCAAGATTGAAGGCCTCAATATCACAGAGCCTGCCTTGAACAAGGTCGCTGACCATGGAAGCAAGGTCAGCTTGCGGTATGCCCTGCAGCTGTTGACCCCCGCAAGCATTCTCTCGCGTGTCAATGGCCGCCCCGGCGCAATTGAGGAGGCTGATATTGCGGAGTGCGAGGATCTCTTCCTGGATGCCAAGCGCAGCGCAATCATTGTTGATCAAGATAGCAAGAATTTCCTGTTATAAATGGCTAGAAGGCTTGAGAAAGTTCCATGATCTTGTATACCAAAGGGGTATCTTTGATGTTTATTGAAAAGGCGAATTGTTTTGTATGGGCCTGGTGTTACGCTAATGCTATGTATCAAATTATGTTTCCAGTTTATTGCAGCTTTTAGAAGATAAATTGTTGTAGGTTTAAATAGTACTAGTTATATAGATGTCATCTGCATGTCGCAAATGCAACCCGACTTAGATTAATCACGTGTCTCACCGTCACGTTCCAGTCTTATCCTGGCACCTTTAATTATTTCGATATTTCCTCTTTGTGCTCCCTAAGACCTCGGGAAAGCCAGTCTCCATCGGTTGCAAAGCGAAGCCACACTAACAAGATCCGTTGACCGCCACTCAGCTATTGAACAGTGTCACCCCCAGATAAAGGTGGAGCCTACATCAACACATCAACTACCGTTGCAGACAGCAGATCTTCTCTCCCACCTAAGCTAGAATACATACTATACAATCACGATGTCAAACTTGAATACAGACGCCGGCTCGGAGATGTTTGCCAGCTATGAGAATGAGTTGAAGCTGGTGCAAGCCGATCTGAACCAGAAGCTGGACCAGATCGCCGAGGCAAGCGGCGAGCAACGGAAATCAGTAATCGACAACGCAACACAAGTCCTCGAAGAAGCAACAGAACTGGTGAGTCCACCGAACCCCTCACCCGGTTTTCATGCGCCACAATGCGAGAACAACGAACAAACACAAGAACAGAACAAACTAACCCGATCAATCCCCATCTAGCTCGACCAAATGCGCATGGAGAAGCAGAACATCCCCTCCGCAGCCCGGTCAAAAGTCAACATCCGCTTCCGCAACTACTCAACCGATATCGACGAGGTCAAGCGCAAGCTCAAGTCCCTCTCGGATGACCGGCAAGCACTATTCGGCGACCGATACACCGACGAGCCGCAGGATGAGCACCTCGAACAAAGACAGCAGTTGCTGTCCGGTACGGACCGGCTAGAGCGCAGTTCGGCACGGCTGCAGCAGAGTCAGCGCATGGCCCTGGAGACCGAGGATGTTGCTCGCGGCACGCTCGGCACACTGTATGAGCAGAGGGAGCAGATCACGAATGCTCGGAACAACTTGCAGCAGAGTGAGGGTTACGTTGATACTAGTATCAAGACTTTGAGGGGCATGGCCCGTAGGTACTGACTCCCCTTTTGTCTTGTTCTTCTATATATAGACGTGATTGCTGACCTCTTGTGTGTTGTTTAGGATGGCTACCAATCGGATGATCACTATTGCGATTATTACGGTTCTGGTTCTTTTGATTTTCGCTGTCATTTTCAGCAAGTTCCATTAGTACTTGAGTTTCGCGCTGGTGTTTGTATACTCGGTCTGATCTCTCATATCCTTTTATTTCCTGCTCTTACTAGCAAGGCTATTGCCTGTCTGTCTGTCCGTCTCTGTCTCTCATATATTTGCCATTATGTATACAGTATGATAGCATCGGCGAGTCTTTACACAGCTAGACCCAAATCTCTAGTCCAAGCAATCCCGGTCTCTAATACAATGATTAACAGCCTAGACAAATCCCAAGTATCAATTAGAATGTACCAAATGGCTTCAATTGGGGGTATCTCATAACGCCAAA